CTGGAACTTACTATGTAGACCAAGCTGGCCTTAAATTCACAGAGATTCACCTGCTTCTGCCTCCTGAGTGTCTGGATTAAAGGGGTGTACTACCATGCTCAGCCAGGACAATTTTTTGTTTTGTTTTACCTTTTTTTCCTCCTGTTTGTTTGTTTGTTTTGTTTTGTTTTTGTTTTTCTCTGTGTAGCCCTGGCTGTCCTGAAACTCACTCGGTAGACCAGGCTGGCCTCCAACTCAGAAATCCGCCTGCCTCTGCCTCCCAAGTGCTGGGATTAAAGGTGTGTGCCATCACTGCCCAATTTATTTCAGTTATTTTTAGAGAACTTCATCGTGTGTGTGTGTGTGTGTGTGTGTGTGTGTGTGTACACAATGGTGTGGAGATCAAAGGACAGTTTGTGCCTGTCACTCCTCCACTTCTGTCATATGGATCCTGGGAATCTAATTCAGGTCATCAGGATTAGCGATGTGTGCCTTTACCTGCTGAGCCATCTCCTTGGCCCTAGGTTTCTCTTTTTTGTATAGCGCCACTATACTGCCTTCAACAGTCCTCCTGCCCTTGATTTTTGACTCCTAGGATTACAGGCATGTACTATCATGTAAACATTTTATTTGTTTGGAGTCAGGGTTTTATCATGTATCATTGCTCAGACCAACACTTGATAACCTGTAGACCAGGCTGTTCTGAACTTGTGGTTATCCTGCCTCTGCCTCTCTGTCAGCTCTTTTGGAGGAGGAAGAGTTCACTTGAGGGAGTAGCTGGAGAACATTGGTCTCCTGGGCAGCCTTGTTGTGTGGGTCAAGTAGTAAAAGGAAATGAAAGCTTTTTCCATTCTAGAAGTTTAGAAGTTTGCTGCCCAGGCCTCACAGACATCTCACTTCTTTCTAATTTTAAGTTGAGGGAGATGAAAGGCCTTTGGAATTTGGAAGGTGGAATCCAGAAGAGGTTGTGGGTAAAGGGATGGTAGGGAGGCTGGGGCTCTGCAGTTGGGAGGCGGGGGTACATACCTCTTTCATTGTAAAAGACAACAGAAGCTGGCTTGGGGAAAGGAGTGGGACCTTTGGGGGCTGCTGGGCTGTAGCCTCTTTTCTCCAAAACAGTTCAGAGCTCCTTGGTCAGGGACAGAGTTGAGGACGTTTGAAATGACACTGAGGACAGAGGAGCCAGGAACAGGGTTACAGGCTGGGTGGCAGCCTGGATGTTTGATGGGCTCTACAAGTTTTCTAGGCAGGACTGATGGGGAAAGCTGTGGGGGACAGGAGCAGTGACAGACTGGAGGGCAGGTGGCCCTAGAGAGGGAATGGAGGAAGGAAGCAGCTGGAACTGTCAGTGTGCGGTTTGCGTGGGAGGAGAAAACTGAGGTGAGCGAAGAAGCTACAATCTTAGTCTGTTTGGGCGGTTATGACAAAATACCGTAGCCTAGGTCACTGGTAAGCAGAAGAAATGTAAACTTTCATTTGTTTACTTTTCTCTGGGGCCTTCCTTCTTTCCTTCCTCCTCTTTCTTCCTCTCTTTTCTTGTGTGTGTGTGTGTGTGTGTGTGTGTGTGTGTGTGAGAGAGAGAGAGAGAGAGAGAGAGAGAGAGAGAGAGAGAGAGAGAGAGAGAGAGATGTGTGTATGTATTTGTATCTTCCTTGATTTCTGTCTACATTATTGTAGTTGTTGTTTTGAGACAGGGTTTCTCTGTGTAGCCCTGCTGTCCTGCAACTTGCTTTGTAGACCAGACTGGCCTCAAACTCACAGAGATCCACCTGCCTCTTCCTCCTGAGCACTGGGATTAAAGGCCTGCTCCACCACTGCCTGCTTCACCTCTTTTAGTTTTTAAAACTAAGACTGTGTGTGTGTGTGTGTGTGTGTTTGCAGGTTTGAGCCTGCTCACACGTAGGTTCATGTGTATGTGTGCACATGTATGCCATAGTGCACTGGGTAGCCAGAGGCAGGGGGTCCAAGTTCTAAGACATTCTGCAACTACATAGCAAGACCAGCCTGGGTCAGGCATGGTTGTGCAGGTTTATAATTCTGACTCTCATGCCTGTCTCAGGAAAACAAACAAAACACATAGGGCTTGGGGGATAGGGAGTGACTCAGTGCAGAAAGACAACCTCAGGTGTCAGTTCTGCCCTGCATCTCCTCTGAGACAGTGTCTCCTGTTTGCCTCAGCATGCACCAGGTTTCCTAGTCCAGGAACTTCTTGAGGTTCTCTTGTCTCTCACATCCCTGTAGCTCTGGGACCACAGTCGGGCATCCAACTTTAATTGGGTTCTGGGAATATGAACTCAGGTTCTCATGCTTGCATGGCAAGTGTTTACTCATGAAATTATCTCTTCAGCCCTCCATCTTAGCTTCTGAGTCTTACTGAACCTGGGGTTCATGAGTTGGCTAGATCAGCTAGCAAGCAATATTCAGGTTCTCCTAAACCCCTCAGATCTGGGTTTCTGACATGTGTGCCTGTGCCCAGGTTTTATTTAAGTTCTGGGAATGTGAACACAGGTCCAATGTTTGTCTGGCAGGTACCTTACTAACTGAGCCACCCCTAGTCTGTGCCTGTTTTGTTTGTTTTCCTGAGACAGGCCCTAGAGTCAGGATAATAGACGTGCACCACTATGCCTGACCTGAGCTGGTCTTGCTATGTAGTTGTAGAATGTCTTAGAACTCAGGATCTCCTGCCTCTGGCTGTCCAGTTCTAAGATGCAGGTATGCTCCACAGTGCCTAGCTCAAGAAAGCTTTTGCTCATAATTGTGAGACTTCAAAGACCAAGGTCAAGATTCAGAAGATCTAGTGTCTGGTGAGGACCTGTTCCTTACAGATGGCATCATGTGTTTTGAAAATCCCTCTTGGGTCTCTTTTATTTTTACCTTAGGGAGAGAGAGAGCTGATGGTAGTGTACCCCTTTAATCTCAGCACTTGGCCAGCAGAGGTAAGCCGGTCTCTGAACCAAAGCCAGAGATCTACAGATCGAGTTCCAGGAGAGCCAGGGAAACTATGTCTCAAAACAAAGATGTCTTTTATTTTATGTGTTTGACTATTTTGCCTGCTTGTATGTATATGCACCTTGCCAGTGCTTGGTGCCTGTAGAGACCAGAAGATGCAGTTGGATCTCAGTGTAGCCCAGCCTGGACATCCTCCTGCCTCAGGTTCCCAAGTGCTAGAATTACAAGTGTGATCCACCAGGCTCAGTGCCTGAGCTTCAGACCTGGTGCAGCTTTGGATCCCCTGGAACTAGAATTATAGACGGTTGTTAGCTGAGTGGGTTCTGGGAATTGGTCCTTTGTAAGAGCAGCCAGTGCTCTTAACCCCTGGGCCAGCCATCTCTCTAGCCCCTCCTCTCTCAGTACCATGACACTGATGATTAGGTTTCAGATCTGAGTGCTGCGGGGGGTAGGGGGGTCACAAGCACTCTGACCACAGCAATCCTATGACTGATAGAGTGGGCAGTGGCTCTAGATGTGTAGGATAGGGACAGCTTTAGGGAGAATTCTCCAAACGGGGATGTTTCCATGGGCCCTTCTCATTGCAGGACCACTAGCCTGGAAATAGCCCAACAGGAAGCTGTGACCAAAGCCAGGGTAGAGATCTGAGTCCAGAGCTCAGCCCCAGGGATGCTGTTCATTGTCAGGTAAGCCCTTTCTTTGCTGAACCTGCTCCTTTCATCCTCTCAACAGGTGGTGTGTGCTTTCCCTCTCTTAGTGTCTGTCCTGAAGAGGCTGAAAGGCAACCCTAGTCAAGCAGGCCATTCAGGCGGAAGGAGGGTGGATAGAGAGGCCTCTCTTCCAACCTGGCTCAGGCTCCTGGCAGAGAGAGAGAGACTCAAGTGCATCCATTCTCAAGGTGTCATCTTGTAGCAAACCCTCATGTTAGCTGTCATCAGTCAGGTTAGTGACAGATGCTCTCCTGGAACTTCTTAAACCCCACTTCACCCTTTTTCTCTCCTAAGAAAAGGTTGGAGATTCCCTTTCATTCTAACAGGGTCCTAAGCTTTGCTCTGTCCCAAAGAAGGCTGTATCTCCTATTTTGGAGGGGGAATGGATCATCATCAGAGGGTTCTGTGGTTACCTCCAAGTCCTGCCCTCAGTCGGAGTGGACTTTGCTTTCTTAATTATTATTATTTTATTTATTTATATTTCAATGTTGTCCCCCTTCCCAGTCCTCCCTCTACAAGCCCCACCCACATCCCATCCCCCCCCTTGCCTCTAAGAGGGTGCTCAACCACCCACCTACCCGCTCCCACCTCCACCCCTCTAGTATTCTCCTTCTCTGAGCCATCAAGCCTCCACAGGACCAAGTGCATCCTCCCTCCCAATAGTTCTTCTTTCTAAAGAAAAAACAAACACACATTATGTCAAACTAAATTGTCCTCAGAGTCAAACTGATAAGCAATGTGATGATGTTGGTTAGGTCTTATTTGGGAGATTAAATATACAATTTCTAATTTTATTGTATTAAAAAAAAACAATTGAAAGAAGGCCTTTGCTTTCTTTAAGGGCTGGAGCATGTGGAGGTGATACGAGGTTTCAGAAGAGGCCAGATCCTCTCCCCAAGCTGGTGCTTGCTCTTCAGCTCATCACGTCATCTGCAGGGTATGTGGAGTTACTGCCTGGGGCCACCAGAGGGCGCCTCAGACGGAGCAGGGGCAGGAACCGGGCTTCCCGCGAAGGCTGCAGCTTCCTGAGTCCAAGGCTGAGGGTCAGAGAGCCGGGAATTCCGGGTGTCAGTATCCCAGGAGTGAGATGAACGGCCAGGGTGCAAGCGGTCAACCGAGGCCCCCGGATTCTCCCTTCGTGCCAACGCCTTTTGAGGTTCACACGGAGAAGGCGGACCCCAGGACGCGTCCAGAACAGGTGTCAAACCCTGGACATTTAGGGCCTGGGTGGAGAAGAGGACAGACAGCGGAGCGTGCAGGCGCCCAAGAGGGGCTCAGGGGCCTCACTGCAGTAGCCACGCCCCTCTAAGACCCCGCCCCCATGCCCCGCCCGTCCTGCCCCCTCCCTGCGGAGGTGGGAGACCCGGGTTCCTCCACAGCCACCCAGTCCCGCCATGCGCTTTGCGCCGCTCCTACCTCTGCTGCTCCTGCTGTGGCCGCGGCTCTGGGCTGCCGGTGTCACGGAGTCGACTCTACCCACCGTAGTCCTTGTCATCCTGGCCCGAAATGCTGAACATTCTCTGCCCCACTACCTGGGTGCGCTGGAGCGCCTGGACTACCCCCGGGCCAGGCTGGCCCTCTGGTGAGAGATCCAGGGGTGGGTACATCTAGGCATCAAGCCCCAGGACCCAGGAAGGCTTTTTAGCCAGAGGCCTCATCGGTCCTGCCCAGACACTACCCAGACAAACTCCTCCCTCCCAGACCCCTCAGCAGGATTCCTAAGTCCCGCGGAGCAAGAGCAGACTTCTGAGGCCAGGGTTCAGCCCAGGGATACGCACCCCTCCTTTGGGCTCCCTTCTCGTCCCGGGCTTCCCAGGCTTCCCGGGCTTCCCCTGGATTTTAGTTAGGCCTGTCCTTTCTGACCCAGCCCTTGGGGCTGGCAGTACATCGCAGTGAAGACCTATGGTCTACCCGATGTAGACTGAACCTCTAGAGTCCCCTGGGGCCCAGCATAGAAAACGATCAGTCAGACTGGAGGTTTCTAGAGTGCAGGTGGGGGAAAACCCTCAGCTCCAGGCGGGATGCTGGGCAGGGGCGCCAGGCTGGGTGTCCCCCCTAGTGGTACTGCTAGCTTCTCTGGGTAGAGGGGCTGGCTGGTTCTGACAGGTCTCATAGGATGCTGGGATCAGAGGTTACAGCACCCTGTCTCAAAAAGACAGAACAGGGAGGAGCCCGAGCTGAGGCTGGAGATAGACTCCTCACAGGACACCAAAGTTGGGCTAGGGGTGGAGCTGTGGCCTGGAGAGGCTGCCCACAGTCACCACACTTGGGGAGTTAGTTAGTTCCCACCCCTGTAAGACTTGACACGTAGTTAGTCTTCCCTTCTGGGGAACTGGCTTAAAGGAACAGCATCGCCTAAAACCTGGGATCTTGGCTAAGCCTTCCACCTCCATTACTAGAGCCCCTTCCCCAGTAGAGGGAAAGCTGTGCTCCATGGTAACAGAACTTGGGTCACCAGCACTTCTCAGGGGCTGTCAGCATGGTGTGATCCTAGTTACAGCTCAGGGTAATTAGGTAAGGAGAGAAAGGCAATTACTGTTTTGTCTGATTCTGAGCTGGAAAAGGCCTGACTTATGGAGCTATGAAGAGGGACAAAAGTGAGGGGGGTGGCAGGTGCAATCTTTAAGGTCAAGGGAATGTCTTTCCAAGTGCACTCAGGCTGAGCATGTAGCTCAGTGGTCAGGGGCTTGCTTGGCGTGTACAAGTCTCTAGATTCAATTCCACAGTACAGTGCACAAAGTCAGAAGGGAGGATGCGAAGCACACAGAGATATGGACTGTGCCTGAGGTAGATATCCTGCAACACCTCCACTGTAGCACACAGCTCTCCCCCGTTGCTCTCAGGACAGTCATTCTGTTTTGTGCTCGCAGGTGTGCCACAGATCACAACATGGACAACACCACAGGGATGCTTCAGGAATGGCTGGCAGCTGTGGGCTCCGACTATGCGACTGTGCGCTGGAGGCCTGAGGAGGAGGCCAGGTGGCTGACTGAGGGCAAGGGTGCTGACGGAGAACAGCCATTCCCCAGGGCACAGCCCCAAAGCATGCCATGTCTATTCCCTGCAGAGAAGGAGAGGCCCCCTCTCTCAAGAGAGCATCTCACCTTTCCCCATTTCAGGTCCTACCCAGATGAACAGGGTCCCAAGCACTGGACCAAAGAAAGGCATCAGTTTTTGATGGAGCTGAGGCAGGAAGCGCTGGCCTTTGCCAGGGACTGGGGAGCTGACTACATCCTGGTAAGAATGCCTAGCTGAGGAGTAGGTGGGAGCCATTAGCACCTGCTCCCAATAAAGTCTGGTTATACCCAAACTATCTATAGGCTGGATCTTTTGGAGACTGAGTGAGACCCCTGTATTTAAGCTCAAACTAGATACTAAACCTGGCTCCTTATACAGGTCTTAGGTTATATGCTGTGCCTAGATTCCTGAGCCTTTGTATGCCTAGAGTATAAACTGAGTCTGGATCCCTGGATTAGAGCTCAGAATAGATTTTTTTCAATATTTTTGTTTTGTTTGCTCATTGGGTTTTCGAGACAGGGTTTCTCTGTGTAGCCCTGGCTGTCCTGGAACTCACTCTATAGACCAGGCTGGCCTCAGAAATCTACCTGCCTCTGCCGCCCAAGTGTTGGGATTAAAAGTGTGTGCCACCACCCCCGCCTGGTTTATTTTTGTTTTATGAAGGTGGGTGTGTGCCTGCGTGTTTGTCTGCATCATGTGCATGCAGCCCACAGAGGGCAGAAGGGACCTGGAAATGAGCTCCGCTTTGTAGTGAGTCACCTCAGGGTCAGTGGGTCTCCAGCTCAGGGCCTCGGGAAGAGCCGCCAGTCCTTTTAATCAGTTACCTCAAAGTAGATGTTTGGATCTGCTGGCTTGGGATCTGCTGGCTGAGCTAGACCTCAGATAGGATTCTTCCATCTGCTACTTGCTGTACTCTAAGCCTAAGCCAGCATCTCAGAATGGCTCCTTGTCAGAAATGATTAGCACCCCCAGTCTGTATCCTGTATGTATGTATGCACATGTGCACATGCCGGGATGTGTGTGCATGTCAGAGGACGGCTTTCCAGAGTCTCTTTTACCGTGTGGGTCCCAGAGACTGGATTCTGGTTGTCAGGCTTGGTAACAAGTACTTTATCTTTCTAGTCTCTCTCTGGCCCTGGTTAGATCTCTTTGAAGGAATTCCCACTCAGTGAACTCTTTGGTCTTGAATCTCAGAAAGGATTCCCTGTGACATTGTCCTTCTCCAAAGTTCGCAGATACAGACAACATTCTTACCAACAACCAGACACTGAGGCTTCTCATAGATCGGCAACTGCCAGTGGTGGCCCCAATGCTGGACTCCCAGACCTATTATTCCAACTTTTGGTGTGGTATCACTCCACAGGTGAGACTGGGTGAGGCCTCAGGAGCTTCAGGAGCCGAGGAGGATAGATCCTGAGGCTTCAAGGCCTTTGGGCCAAGATATGTTTGGCCACAGCCACAGACATTCTCTCCTTCAGGGCTACTATCGCCGCACAGCTGAATACTTCCCTACTAAGAACCGCCAGCGCCAGGGCTGCTTCCGGGTCCCTATGGTCCACTCTACCTTCCTGGTATCCTTGCAGACCAAGGAAACAGCCCAGCTTGCCTTCTACCCACCTCATCCCAACTATACGTGGCCTTTTGATGACATCATTGTCTTCGCCTATGCTTGCCAGGCTGCTGGTGAGGATTAGGCCTTCTTCAGCAGGCCTTGGAGACTCCTGGGCCTTTGCACCTGCTGGTCCCTCTGCTTAGTATGCCAATCTCCACTTCACATTTCATCTTGTCACCTCCTGTGGGTCCTTTGGATCATTGCCTTTCTTAAACCTACTGCCTAGTGGAGGAGGTGAGCTAGCGGCTGCCTCCATTTGGCATTTTCAGGTATTGCTTCACTAAGGAGATATTTATGGAGCACCCACTGTGTGATAATACCCACTGTGTGACAGGCACTGGGGTGATAGTGGTAATCCTGGAGTCCCTTCCTCTTGGAGCCTGCAGTCCAGTTAGTCAGAGGCCCTCACAAATCAGTCGTCATTGACAGGAAGGAGATCCTGATTATAGTGTTCTGGCGCTCAGGCCACGGTTGATTTAGTCAGAGAAGATCTCGTGAAGATCGTAAACTCTTGATCTAAAGTGTGGGCAGGCAATAATGAAGCAAACAGCAAGAAAAATATTTTCTTTTTTTAGATTTATTTTATTTTGTGTATGAGTGTTTTGCCTGCATGTATGTCTGTGTACCACAGGCATGCTTGGTGCCTCCAGGAAGCAGTGAATCTCCATGTTCCAGAAATTGAACCTGAGTCCTTTGCAAGGACAGCAAATGCTCTTAACCACCGAACCAACTCTCCGTTCCCCAAGAAAAAGTATTTAAAAGCAGAAAGGCCAGCATATGCGAAGACCCCATGATAGGAAGGGTAAGAAAGCAGGTGTGGTTGGGCTGGAGAGACGGCTCAGTGGTTAAGAGCACTGACTATTCTTCCAGAGGTCCTGAGTTCAATTCCCAACAACCACATGGTGGTTCAAAGCCATCTGTAATGGGATCTGATGCCTTCTTCTGGTGTGTCTGAAGACAGTGACATACATAAAATGAACAACGCTTTTTCTTTCTTTCTTTCTTTTTTAAAGAAAAGAAGGCAGGTAGTGAAGCACAGTGCAGGTGAGGCAGGACAGGAAGACAGGGCCCTCCCTGGGAACCTGATGGGCACAGACCTAGTCTTCAGCCTGCCAGTGCTGTGTTGCCCTCAGAAGGTCACATGGTCAGCCCAGCGCATGAGATCACACGGTGGAGTGGCTGTGACCTGCTCCATTGCTCTCCCTCCCTCTTAGGGTCTCTCTGAGAGCCTGGAGCTAAGTTGGTGTCCATTAAACCCCAACAGTCCTTCTGTTCATCCCCACAACCCGACTGGGGTCACAGGCATGCACACATCCAAGGGGGCTTTCTTTCTATTTTGTTGTTGTTGTTTTGCATGTGTGTTAGATTCAATCTCCACAGTGCTGAGCTATCTTCTCAGCCCTGATGTTGATTTTTTATTTAATTTCTATCTTTGTGCTGGGCAGTGGTGGTGTACGCCTTTAATCCCAGCACTTGGGAGGCAGAGGCAGGTGGATCTCTGAGTTCAAGGCCAGCCTGGTCTACAGAGTGAGTTCCAGGACAGCTAGGGCTGCAAAACAAACAAACAAACAAACAAACAAACAAAACTCCATCTCAAACCCCCTGTCCTACAAATTTGTGTGTGTGTGTGTGTGTGTGTGTGTGTGTAGTGTTGGGAATGGAACCCAGAATGTACCACTAGGCTACATCCCAGTGCTATTGTTTTTATTTTTTGGTGTATGTCATTCTACCACTGAGCCACACCCCTGACTTGCCAGTATTCTTTTCAGACAGGGACTCACTATGTAGCCCTGGCTAGCCTGGAACTCACTATGTAGAGCAGGCTGGTGTTGAACTCAGAGATCCACCTGCCTCTGCCTCTCCAGTGCTGGGATTAAAGGTGTGTGCCACCACGCCTAGCATTATTATTTATTTTCATTTTGTGCACGAACATTTGTTGGCTGATATGTATGTATGTGTGCCACATGGGTGCAGTGCCTGAGAAGGCCAGAAGAGGGTGCTGGATCCCCTGGAACCAGACTTACAGGTGGTTGTGAATTGAACTCAGGTCTTCTGCAAGAGTAGCAAGTGCTTTTAGTTGCTGAGGTATCTCTCCTTCACCCCATAATTATTTTTAAGAAGAAAATTACTTAGAAAGGATGTGTTTGGCTGAGAGTGGGATAAATCCAACCCCTAGAGCACTGGACATAGTGGCACATGCCCTTAATCACAGCACTCCTGATCTCCATGAGTTCAAGGCCAGCCTGGTCTACATGAGGAGTTCCAGGCCATCCAGTGCTACAAAGTGAGACCCTGTCTCAATCCTGCTTCTGTAGGGAAAAATCCCAAAAACCCTAAGGAAGAGCTAAGGATGACAGTGAGGCAATGATATGGGACACTCTGCCAGAGCAGACTGTGGCTGTGGGATCTGGACCTGGGCCGAAGCTTGGCTAGGGCTGTGAAGACTCTGAAGAGGGGAGAACTTACTGAGGGTCAGGGAGGGAAGGGCCCTGATTGTTTGCCTGGCTCCAGTGCTAACACAGCCTCTCTGCAGGGGTCTCAGTGCATGTGTGCAATGAACATCGTTACGGATACATGAATGTGGCAGTGAAGCCCCACCAGGGGCTGGAGGAAGAGAAGACTAACTTTATCCACCTGATTTTGGAAGCACTAGGTGAGGGCTGGGGTCTCCTGCCTTCCCACAATGCTCCTTTACTAAGCATAGATTTAGGCACATTTGGGTGCCAGCCTTGGTATGAACTAATGTCATGACAATGAGCAAGCCCTTTTCCCTGTGGCACCTCAATGTTCTGATTTGTACAGTGGGGCAGGAGCTCAGGAAGCCTGTCCTTCTAGGTGTTCTTCTGGAGCCGTGGGAGCAAAGCTGGGGCTGGATTCCAGGGGGTCTGTGACCAGGAGTCAGTAGGGACTCATGCCTGGGTGTTGGGGGTGTTGTTTCTTTTTGCAGTGGATGGACCCCCCATGCTGGCCTCAGCTCATGTATCTCGGCCTCCAAAGAAGCCCAGCAAAATGGGGTTTGATGAAGTAAGTTTCCAACCAACATAACTGGGGTGGGGGGGATAAGCAACCCTTCCTTGGACTCATGTCTGCCCTCCTTGGGCTCATGTCTACTCCCTCCAGGTCTTTGTCATCAGCCTGGCCCGCAGACCCCTTCGCCGGGCTCGAATGCTGAGCTCTCTCTGGGAGATGGAGATCTCTGCCCAGGTGGTGGACGCTGTGGATGGCAGGTGAGACTCCCAGGGACGCGACTTGGAGATCATGGCATCCATCTTGAGATCCTAGGAGTGGACAAGCAGACCAGTTGAGTGAACTTCCTAAACACCCGGGAGGTAGCCGAATAGGGCCTGAATCCTGCTGTCTCAGGAATGCCAGAGCAGGCCAACAGGACAAAATGTCCTCCTTTAGCTTATCTGAGGGAGAAGGGTGCCGTGCAGAAGTCCCCAGAACCTGGGTTGAGGGCTATCACATGGCAGCAGTATAAACGCTGGGGAACTGTCCCATCTCTCAGCCTCACTTCTACTTGATACATAAGCAAGCTTGCTTCTTGTGGTCCCTGAGAGTCCAGCAAGAAGTTAGCCAAGTCCATCACCTGGCTAAGGGGTAGGCAGCCTCAGGGGTGTTCTCCATGCTAGAGTTAGGTCCCTGAGGGGCTAGAGTGTGGAGCATGGGTGAAGTCTGGCTGTGTTCCACATGGATTCAATGGTCAATCTACAACTGCTGCCAGGCTCACATGTCCCCAATGCCAGCAGCTGTTTGCTCCAAACCCTAGGTCCTTTTTGTTCACATACATATACTCGACTTTATAAAATATATTTTGTTCAATAGGTAGGTAGGTAGATAGGTAGGTAGGTAGATAGATACACACACACAAATACACACACACACACACACACACGCACACATATATAATTTCCTCATTATTCTTTTGGGGTTTATTTAGAAAAATTTCAGGTTTATTTATTTGTGTGTGTGTGTGTGTGTGTGTGTGTATGTGTTTTGCATACATGAGGGCGCACACATGTAGAGATCAGAGGGCATGTTTTAGGAGTCATTCTCTCCTTTCACTGTGGGATCTGCAGATTGAATTCACATCCTCAGGATTTCTAGTCAAACACTGTATCCTACTGAGCCACTGGTATCCTGGACCTTGGCTTGTTTTTCTTTTTTGAGACAGGTTCTCATATAGCTAAATTTGGCCTTGAATTGACTGTGTGAAAGAGAATGACCTTGAATTCCTGATCTTTCTGCTTCTACCTCCCAACAGCTGGGATTACACAGGTGCACCAGGGATTGCTTTGTTCTGTCTGTCTGTCTGTCTCCCTCCTTTCTTCCCTCCTTCCCTCTCAATCCAGGGTCTCACATAGCTCTGGCTGGCCTGGAACTCACTATGTAGACTGGGCTTAGCCTCAAACTCAAAGGTCTGCCTGCCTTTGCCTCCCAAGAGCTTGGCTTATAGGCCTGCACCATTATACCTGGCTGCCCTATGGAGTATCTGCCCTTTACTGGGCCTTGATGAAGAAAGGGTTGTCTACAACCCTTTGTGGGTTCTTCCTACATTGCCTCTGCGTCAAGCACAGTCCATAAGTTCATCCTCCTGAGGCTTTCTTAAAGAGGCTAGAGTTCTCTAAGCCCAGGCCACATGAAGGAGTTATACAATTAAATCTTCCTTTAAACCAGGCTCCTATGTGATTCTCTGCAGCGTGTACAGGTGAGGCCCCTCTGGCTAGAGGCTCGTGTTGGCACGTGTCACCCATCTATGCTTGTGTCTCATAGGACACTCAACAGCAGTATCCTCAAACACCTTGGTGTGGACCTGCTCCCTGGCTACCAAGATCCCTACTCGGGCCGCACACTGACCAAGGGTGAGGTGGGCTGCTTCCTCAGTCACTACTCCATCTGGGAAGAGGTGAGGATACCAGCCCTCTGGACCACACCCTTCAGGGATGATGGAGAAGTTGGTTGTCTTAGTTGATTGCCTGGCATGCAAGTGATTTTATGAATGAGGGATGAGTTTGTCTGACAAGAAGGTCCTTTGAACCCTCGTGTTCAACACTTCCCTGGCGTCACTGAGTGATGGTGATGTTGTTTATCCCACTGTCCCTGTTCCCTAGGGGGGATTCGTCCCTGGTAACACAGGGGAAAAGGAAACTGTGTCTGTCTTATCCCTTAAGAGAGCGCTCCCGTGGGTGGGGAGGTGACCCAGTGGTGACATGCTGGCTGGGGAAGCGTGAAGACCCGAATACAGAGTTCAGTGCCCACAAAAAGCTGCATAAGTGTGTCACGTCTGTGACCCCACACAGATCCTGTGGGTTTGCCTGGCAAGCCAGTCTAGATGAAATGAAAGATCCCAGTTCGATGAGTGACCCTGCCTCAAAAATAAGGTGTGACACCCCTCTGATGCTCACATATGGCCTGCCTTACTTCTTCCTGAAAACCACATTCTCTTAACCCTCATGCTTAAATTCTTTCTTTCTTTCTTTCTTTTTTTTTTTTTTTGGTTTGTTTTTTTGAGACAGGGTTTCTCTGTGTAGCCCTGGCTGTCCTGGAACTCACTCTGTAGACCAGGCTAGCCTCGAACTCTCGAACTCAGAAATCTGACTGCCTCCCAAGTGCTAGGATTAAAGGTGTGCACTTCCACCGCCCGGCTGCTTAAATTATTTCTTAGAAGAGTGATTTATTTTTATTTTATGTGTATGGGTGTTTAGCCTGTATGTCTGTCTGTACACCACATGTGTACTGTGCCCTTGGAGGGTGTCAGATCCCCTGGACCTGGAGTTACAGATGGTTGTGAGCTGCTGTGTGGGTCCTGGGAATCAAACCTGCATCCTCTGTGAGAGCGTTAAATGCTCTTAACAGCCAAGCTAGCCCTCCAGGTCCTTAAATTTTTTAAATATATTTAATAACCCCCAACTCTGCTTCATTGAGGGAGAAAAAAGAATGAGACAGGGATGGTGGCTCACGACTTTAATCCCAGCACTAGGGAGGCAGAGGCAGGCAGGTCTCTGTGAGTTCAAGGCCAGTCTGGTCTACAGATCGAGCTCAGGACAGCCAGGGCTACGCAGAAACACCCTGTCCAAAAATTAAAACAAAGCAAACAAGGTGATGAGAAGTAGAGAAAGAGATCCTGACATTGAGCCCTGGCCTCCAGATATAAGTGTTTGTACACAGGTAAAAGGAGGGGGCATCATGGGGTTCTAGAGGGTGACACAGATCACAAGAGGGACCCAAGACTGCACTTTGTGGGGGAGGTGGAGGTGGTTGTTTGCCCCTGCTTGGGGTCAGATAGACAGTGAACCTTCCAGGCAGAAGAAAACAGGCAAATTCCTGCATGTGGGAAGGTATGTCAGGAGCAGAAAGCTGAAGGCCCTGGGGCACTCAGCCTCAGGCCCTGGCTGGGGCACTGCTGGAGAACTGGAGGGCACTGGGCGCCCGAGGGTGCTCCCTTTAGGAGATAGAGTGCATGTACCTAGCTCTTTCTTTTTTTCACCTCCAAGGAGTGTGCGCGCATGTGCAATCTTTTTGTTAGTTACCATCTGTGAACAGACTGAGCAGATGACTCAGTCACAAGCTGGCCCTTCACCAGATGATTTCACATATTTTCCACATTTTCTTCCATAGCTACAAAGAGTAATTTTAGGAGTAATTTTGTGGAGTCTCTCACACCCCCTACCCAACCTAGCTTCAGATGACAAAGCAAGAACCTGTGCTTCTCTCTCTAAGGCTGAGCAGTTACACTGGCTAGCCCTGAGAGAGCTTTAGTATTCAGTGACTGTAGCAAAAGTCATGACTGCCACCAGGATTCTTTTAGCTAGAATGTGACGCACCAGCTCAAGGGCCTTGAATGCCAGAACAAGATGAATTTCAGTTCCTAGGCAGTGGCGGCCCAGCATGCTCTGGGGAGCTACATGGTATGATCAGCATTTGGTATGTGGCACATAGCCAAAAAGAGTCTGCTGGCCTGGCTTTAGGTAGGTAGGAACAGGACAGCCCAAATCTGCAAAGTCCTCTCCCCTGTCATGTGTGCTGCAGGTGGTTGCCAGGGGCCTGGCCCGAGTCATGGTGTTTGAGGATGACGTGCGCTTTGAGGACAACTTCCGGAGGCGGCTGGAACGGCTGATGGAGGATGTGCTGACTCAGAAGCTGTCATGGGACTTGATGTAGGCAGGCTGCCTCTCAGGGCAAGGGAGATGGGATATGCCTCCTGGGTCTACTTTTTTTATCCTGGGGTCCTAGCTAGCCCTTTCTGCAGAGCCTGACCTTGTCCTATCTGGGAAAGGGCCAGGAGACTCCAGCCTTTGTGGGAACTCCTGACACTTTTGCTGTCATTTGCAGCTACCTTGGGCGGAAGCAGGTGAACCCTGAGGAGGAAGTGGCTGTGGAGGGGCTGCCTGGTCTCGTGGTGGCTGGGTACTCCTATTGGACACTCGCATACACCTTGAGCCTGGCAGGTGCTCGAAAACTGTTAGCCTCCCAGCCTCTGCACCGCATGCTACCTGTGGATGAGTTCCTGCCTGTCATGTTTGATCGCCACCCAAAGTGAGACCTGGGTTGGGTAGGGCAGGGTCACCCTAGCCAGGAGCCCAATGCAAAACCCCTTACTGGGCAGCTATGGAGTGGTAGACGCTCAACATTCACCCACATGGTCTAGGTCACCCAAGAGTTGCTCAGGTGCCAGACTCAGCTAGATGTGAACACTGTGCTGTCCATGCCCATGTGGGTTTTTAGATTTACTTTTAATTTTTAATTACATGTATCTGTGTGTGTGTGTGTGTGTGTTTGCATGTGAATGCAGGTATCCAAAGAGGCCAGAAGAGGGCATCAGATCCCATTAGAGAGCCACTTTATGTGGGTGCAGGAACCCTGCAAGACCATTGACTGTTCCTAAAGGCAAAGCTATCTCTTCAGCCCCTGTCCATGTGGTTTTCAACCCCATGACTTCCCTGTACTGAGCCTGTGTGTCCTCATCAAAGGATATTAAGAATGCCACTTCTCAAAGTAACTATGACTACTAGTGGGCAGGTCAGAGATACTGCAGACAGTCAAGGCTCCAGTTCTGGGTTGGAGCCAGGGAGAGGCCGTGTGAGTCCACTTATGATTTCTTCTCTCACTTCACAGTGACCAGTACAAAGCATATTTCTGGCCTCGGGACCTCCAAGCCTTCTCAGCCAGGCCTCTGCTTGCCTCCCCCACACACTATGCGGGAGATGCTGAGTGGCTTAGTGACACGGAGACATCCTCCCCCTGGGATGATGACAGTGGCCGCCTCATTAGCTGGACTGGCTCTCAAAAGACCCTTCGTGGGCCCCACCTGCACCTGGCTGGCAGCAGTGGACATAGTCTCTATCCTCACCCCAGGGATGAACTGTAGGTGAGGCTGGACCTAGAAGAGGGCTAGTCCACAGTCCAGGTTAACCTTCTCAGTGCTCTTTCTCTCCTCCCTCCTCCTGCTTCTCTCCTGATCCCCAACCCACCTCTTCTCTCTTTCTCTTTTTCTCCAATTTCTCTAGTTTGCCTTTGTGTCTGTCTCTCTACCTGTCTGTCTCTCTCCATAGCTGTTGACATCTTTACGTGTGACTTTCCTTTTCTCTCTCTTGCCCCATTGGCCCCTAGCCCATGAGGTCCATGCTTCAGAGGAGCAATGAGAACAGAGAGGAGGAGGAGACAGAGCCAGCAGAAACCGGACTTCTATTTTGGGCTCAGCCAGTCAGTCTTCTATCCTCTGGACCCATTCCAGGGTGGGAGAAACACTCAAGGGCAGAGTCCATTCCTGGGTGAAGAGACTAAGACCCCAAGACTCTTGACTCTGAGTGCAAATTTAGAGCCCAGTGGGCTCAGAGATGGGGAGGCCTCAGCCTTTGGCCAGAGCCCAGAATCCTGCCTTCTGAGGACCCAGCTACTTTGCCTCCATCTACCTCCTGCTCTTTCCCTGACTCACATCTTGGGCTCATTAACACCTTCTTTCCCGGCTGGTGGAAAGTGCAGGAAGATGGGAGGCATACCTGGTACTTAACACACAGTAGGCCTTCAATAAAAGCCATCTGCATTAGCACTTTATACTTCACTAACAGCTGAGTCTCTTTGTGTCTCTCCAGGCCAGGGCAGGACACCCTCTGAGCTAGGATGGAGGGAGGGCAGAAGAGGAGGGGTCAGGCTAGCAGGCAGTTGCTTCCTGGCTGAGGAAAGCCATGTGCCTTTTGGTGGATGGAGGGTATAGCTCCTGAGAAGAATGGGTGCTTCTGTCCTTTGGTCACCATCTAGCCTGGGGTCACTCTCTCATTCCTGCCATTTGCATTTCTGCTCTGGGTCTGCAATCCTAGTTCTGTAAGAAGTCAAGAACTGTGGCTCTGGAGAGCCAGGGCTCTGCTCTGGCCCTAAAAAATAGCACCACCAGAAGGCACCAAGTGGTAGAGCATTAACCTTGTGGGTCAGAATGTTCTTTGCTACTTCTGGACCCACAACAGAGAAGAGAGTTTGGGGAATTTAGACTCAATCCTGTAAGCATAAATATTTTGTAATTTACTTTTAATAAGGGTTCAGCCTTCCCTCTAGCCTACAACCCAGCAGAGGCAGTGGAAAAGTTATTAGGATATGGGGGAAGTGGACCTGTTCAGCAGTAGTTCTTTGGGGGTGAGCTTGATCTTTGGGTGTAGTTCAGTCCTGTAGCAAACACCAAATAAGACTCAGCAGCTGCAGACCAGGCCTCTAGGCAAGCAGACACCAGGCATGAACCAGCAGCTACAGTCCAATCTTTTCAGCAAGCAGATACCACACATGATCCAGAAGCTATAGTTCAATCCTGAAGAAACTGCCAGGTTCACCAATGGGCCTGAGGCAAGGCTGCAGAAGTGGCAAGCAGCCTTAGGAACCTTGTGCAGTTCTTGGTGAGTTTCTCTCAATGGCAGTGTTATCACAAATTGAACTCAACAATGAATGCTATGTAAGTCAAACCAATACATGCATGTTGTTAGCGAAGAATAGCGAGGCAGAGCAAATCAAGTCAATGCTCAGTGCTCGTCTCCCGCTGTCTATAGGATGATGTTTATACGCCTTTATCAAGCGTCCTTTCACATGTCTGCTCCAGTAAGACATCCTTTCACCTGTGTGGCCCGCCAAAACATCATTTGACATGACTAACTTTCCAAAGAAACTAAAAGTTTCCACTTCACAATCTGGATGCTGTGGGTGCACCATTTGAGGTAGCAGAGATGTTAGAGGCTACTCCACATGCTTCACCGTTCTACTTGGGAAATGGGAGACTTCCCTCCACTAGTCACACAGGACCACATCCTGGGCCTAGCAGTAGTCAAGTGCTTGTACTTTGATGGCTGGAAGAGCGAGTGGGAGAGGATTCCCTGTCTGGATTGTGGCTGCCTTAGCCTCTGCCAGTGCAGAGAGGCTCCCTTCCTCAGAGGAGCTCCTTTCCCACCCATCTACCAGAGCAACCTTTGAACATGGTTATGTGAGCACCCAGTCCTGGCAGAGTCTCCCTGGTACCTCCTGAGGTTCAGCCGCCAGTGGGCTCCATTCCAAGAGAGAGAGGTTCAGAACCTGCCATGGTTCTGAGGACTCTGGGCCAGAGGTGAGGCTGTGATATTTTGTTCTTCTGAGGGTGAAACTCTTTCCCTCTGGATGGCTATTGATATAGAACAAGTAACATTTTCATTCATCCTGTAAAATTGGATTAACCTCCCAGGGGCTGAGCAGGGGTGGGGATGGGTACTAAGGACTCAGCAGTAAATGAAACTGATAAAAAATGGGGTGTCAAGTGGACATGGGTGTAGAATCCCTGCCCAGCACACACAAGTTGTCTTCCATTACCAGTACCAAAGACAACAGACACCACAAAACAATGAATGTGATGGTGGGGGGCTGGAGAGATGGCTCAGCAACCAAGAGCACTGTCTGTTCCTCTAGAGGACCTGGGTTCAATTACCAGCACCACATGATGGCTAACACTCATCTGTAACTCCAGTTCAGGGGATCCAACTCATTCCTCTAACCTTCTTGTACCTGCACTAATATGTGTGCATCCTCGTGCCCATGTGTGCACGTGCACAGGCACACTTTAAAAAATAATAAACCTTACAAACAAAGTAAGAAGTCAGCTGTGGTGATGCGTTGGGCAGCAGATGCACTGGCATCTCAAGTTTGAGGGCAGCCTAGTTCACATATCCAGACCTGTTTAAATTTACTTTTTGTTTTGTTTTTTCAAGACAGGATTTCTCTGTGTAACCATGACTATTTTGGAACTCACTCTGTAGACCAGGCTGGCCTTGAACTCAGAGCTCTATCTGCCTCTTCCTCCCAAGTGCTGGGATTAAAGGCATTTGTCACCACGGTCAAATGATTTGTACTTTAATAAGTTCCCTAGCTCTGCTGCTGCTGTTAGTAAATGGACCATACTCTGGCTATAGTACAGCCACCGAGCTCAGCATCCATCCAAGGTTCACAAGCAGTGAGGGGTAGCTCAGAACATCCAACAAGGGCAAATCTTCAGGGCCTGGGAGAATTTTCTTTTCCAGCTCCTCCACGAAGATGTGACCAGGAAGAAACGGCCAGACCCACTCTGTAGCACTGATTGCTTCTCCCCAGGGCAAGGCTGTGGTGGCCCTGGAACAGGTGTTCTTGGATCAGGCCCTTGGGTAAATGGAGAGCCCTTAGCCAAAGGGACTATAAGACATCCCTTAGGTCAGAGTCGTGTAGTTGGGGCTAGCACTAGAGTCCACAAAGACTCCTTGAAATTCAGGAGAAAGAAACTACATCATACATGTCTGATGGATCACTTTCCTGTTGGCCCTTGGCTATGAGTTTTATTTTATTTTTAGTCTTTTCTTTCTTTCTTTCTTCCCCCCTTCTTTTTATTTTTTTATTTTTTCGAGACAGGGCTTCTCTGTGTAGCCCTGGCTGTCCTGGAACTCACTCTGTAGACCAGGCTGGCCTCGAACTCAGAAATCTGCCTGCCTCTGCCTCTCAAGTGCTGGGATTAAAGGCGTGCACTTCTACACCTAGCATTTTAACAATTTTTTAATAACTGATTTTGTCCGTATGAGTACGTACACACTAGTGTAGATATTTCCAGAGGCCAAAAGAGGGGTCAGGTCCCCTGAACTGCAAGCTTCCTGTCTAAAGTGGGGCTGCACTTGAGTCCTCTGCAAAAGGAAACATACAGGTTTTAACTACTGAGCTGTCTCTCCAGCCACTCCATGTGCCTTCTCGTCTTTCCCATTCTTGTGCAACCAGAGTGGAATATCTTTTTTCCTCTCCTTTCCTTCTTTTCTTCCTTCCTTCCTTCCTTCCTTCTTTTTCTTTCTTCCTTTCTTCTCTCTCACTCATTCTCTCTCTCTTCCCTTCTTTCTTTGAGATAGAGTTTCATTATATAGCTCTGGGCTGGCCTGGAACTCACGGAGACTTGCCTTTCTCTTTTGCGTGCTGGACCACTTTGTGTCCCATCATGCCTGTTTTGTTGTTTATTGCCAGATCGAAGATTCTAAGCTGTTATACTCTTACTCAAACCTTTCCATAGCTCTTCAGGAACTGAGGGTCTAAGAACTAATACCAACGTCTGGCCTGTTTGGCACTTTATGGCCAAGTTCTGCTGACCTGGGCAGAACTGCTCACCACCACGACCATAACACTTCAGAGGACTGAACACTCCACGGTGTTGCCCTATAGAATGTTTTGTATGTGCTCAGGCCTGGATGTGACTACTCCATACCTGTTGCTCTCTGCTTAGAATCCCCGCCTCCCCGTCAGTGACACAGCTCTCAGGGCCTCAGCATCTCCAATACCATCACCTCTGGGAACGATCTCCTGCCTGCCCTAAGAAGATAGGTCCTGTTCCTCCCTCCTCCCTCCTCCCTGCCCTCCTCCCATCTCCTCTTATCCCTGCCCTCTATTACAGTAACTGAAAGACTGTTGCAGCTCTTTGAAAGCTACCACCTAGCATCTCAGAGAGGTTTGCACTCAGAGAACACCCTGCCATTCAAAATACTAGCATGTGTTTCAACTGTATTCTTAGCTGTAAGTACAGTTGTATGATTGTTTCATCTGCGTGTGTGCATGCCCACTAGCTTCATGATTAGTTCCCTGTAGGGATCAGAAGGGGGCATCAGATCACCCAGAACTGGAGTTACAGATAGTTGTGAGCTGGGTACAGAAGCTAGGTGCTTTGTTGGAGCAGCCAGTGCTCTTAACCGCTGAGCCAGCCCTGCCAAGTACGTACAAAAATAAACCGCTGTGGCTTCCTTCCTCGTCTCACTTCACTATGATTGTCTTTGAGTCTCTGTCATCAGCGTCTCCCAAACCCTCCAATTCCCAGCAGCCCGAGGATGTTTCTTCTTTACAGTTTATGTATTGGGAAAGACTTTTTTTTTTTTTTTTTTTGGCTCTTTGGGACAGGATTTCTCTGTGTAACCTTGGCTGTCCTACAACTAGCTTGGTAGAACAGATTGGCCTCAAACTCAGAGAGAGCTGCCTGCCTCTAACTCCCAAGTGCTGGGATCAAAGGCGTCCATCACCAACACCATCACTGGCCAGACTTCCTCTGAAACCACCCATTCTCAGACCCTTTATTACAAAAGTCAGAAATAGCTGACTCTCAGGGAGGAGTGTTTAGATTGTTATATTGTTATAGTAAGGAATAGACAACATAAAGACTTTGTCTGGTTTCATTAGGATGATAGGTCATGCACTCCTTTGAGACCGAATGGCAGGTGCTAATGAACCTGGAATGTAGCATAGACTTAGTTCAGTGAATGAGGGCACGCTAAGAAATGAGCAACAATTCCATTTGGAGGTAGCAAAAGGACAATTCGTTAATTTTAATTAGTTGTAAAAAGGTCTTGCTATATAAACAAAGCTGGCCTCAAACTTCTGGCCAAATTAACTTACCTTGGCCTCCTGATTTCTGAGATTATAGGTGTGTACCATCATGCTTACAAAGGAGACATTTTACATGTGTGATCTGAACCTTGAAGCAGGAGGTTTATCTTAGGCAGCAAGAAGCACACATACATCTGAAGAGGGAACTGGAGGGCAGCTAAGGATGGGAAAGCATGTAGATGTTAATTTTGTAGATTTTTCTCTATGAAATGGGGAACTTGCTGTATGGAATGCAGAAGAGACAAAAGTTTGGAAAAACCTCTGTTGGTAATTGTCTAGAGAGAACAGTTGCTGGACAGCGTGGAGACAATTATTTGTGGAGATTATAACATGTATGTGGTACTGAAAATTGAATCTAGGGTTTTGTTCAGGTCAGGCAAGGGCTCTAACTCGGAGTCCCTATCCACAGCTGTATGCTCTTGTGGAACCTCAGGATGGTAGGGATAGTTAGGACTGGGGGATCCAGACTGGCCTTCAACTCATGGCATTCTTCCAGCTTCATTGTTGAGATTACTGGCATGGGAAAAAACAAAACAAAACAAAACAAAAAACAGGCTCGGCTTGATGGTGCACTCCTATAATCCCAGCGCTCAGGAAGCAGAGATAGGCAGATTTCTGCTCAAGCGCAGCAAGTTCCAGGCCAGCCAGGGGTTGCACGCACAAAATGAACCGTCAAGGGTTGACGAACAAATATGACATGGTAAAACTGCCCTGCCGGCTTTGAAGGTGGGAAGGTAGTTAAGGTTCATGCTCCAGGGAGGAGCTGGTGGGAGCACGACTACTGTGTTGGAGTTAAGGTATCAAGGAAATGAGGTCTACCCGGCCTTGAGGTTAAAGTCTCCCAGAATCCAGGGCGGGAACGTGAGCCTCGTGACAGTCCCCCACGATTGGCTAACAGGGAAGCATAGTTGAGAAGATGGCGGCTCAGCAGAGAGAACCTCAGCAGAGTAGGTCCGTATAGAAGCGGTGTACGGTGTGGGAGGGCGGCGGGGGCGTGGGGAGTGCGGCTTCTTCCTTCTGTTTGGGCCGTGTGGGAGAGGGGCACAGTTTGGGTAGTGTGCACAAGTTGTCTGCACTGAGCGGACAGGCACAGGGATGGCTTTCCAGAAGCCCCAGCCTGTTGCTTGTTCAGACTCCCTCTGCGTCCAGCTTCCTACTGTGTTTCGAGGGGAGCGCGTTAGGGCTCAGGAGTCAGGAGGACCAGGGCAAAATGGCGGAGGGGACGCGGTGGCCTGAACGGTGGGGCAAGACCAGGCTGGCCTGCGCGGGAGGCGTCGTGTGTATCCCTGACGACGGGGCGGTGGACCGGCCTCGTGGCCCGGAAGTGGGCGGAGCGTTCCCCGTGGGGCGGGGCATCTCTGTGACGCTGGGGGCTGGGCCTAAATGGCGAAACCCGAGAGGCTCCGGGGGGGGTTTGAACTGGCCAATGGGCGAGCTGCCGACCGGTTGTCGGAAAAGGAGGCGGAAGCGGGGAGGAGCCGCCGCGGGAGCCGGACTGCATCCGCCGCGGCGTCTCCATGGCACGACCCTGGCCTCCGACTTCAACGACTTCATAAGGAGACGGTTCTGGGCGCAGCCGTGCCGCTCTTGGTGAGAGGCCACGCGGCAGGGCAGGGCGTAGAGCGCCGCGGGTTCAAGCCCCGCGCTCCCGGGGCTGGCTCGACCGGGCACCGTCCCCGCGTCTAGGCGCGCTCCTTCCTGCGTCCGAACCCGGCCCGCCCCGCTCCTCGTTGGGCGCGGGCCCTTCCTCCTCCCGCTAACGGGCGGGCCGGCCGCCTCCGTCCTCTCCGGGCCATCGGCAGCGCTCTTTCCCTCCTCTGCTGCCCTCGGGCAGGGCTGCGCCCTTCTATGGGCAGAACCCCGTTCCCTCTTGCCCGCTGGTGGGTGGCCGTGCGCCCCATCCTCCCCGGAGGCCACCCCTGCTCTCTGCGGGCTAGGCCGCAGCAGTTATACACGCTCGGGGTGGGCAGGCCTCCGGGGAGCCTCCTGGCCAGCTCCGGGGATGCGGGAGGTCCAGGAGTGGTCTGGCTACCCAGGCCGCCCCGCCTAGGCCGGTGCTCCTCCCCTTCCACCTATTGGTTCTCCCTGGTAGCTATTCTGCCGGGAACGCCCCTTCACCTAGGAGACAGTTGCCCGGGCACCGTCCCGAATATCCCTCCAGCTCCCTGCGCGGGTTCCCTCCCCTGGGGGGCCCACTTGGGGCCTAGCGGTTCTCACCTTCTTCGCACGCCAGGCAGCCCTCAGGTTTAAACCCTAGTAGCCGTCGGCCCGCTATTCTTCCCGGGTGGGGCCTGGGCATGCTGGTCGTTGTCCTCCTTTCAGTGACGTGCCTCCTCACTGTCCTGCCGCGCCCTCCACCTGCCTCCTGGCGGCGCACTCGGCACCCCGCAGGTCGCTCAGCCTCTCCTGTCTCCCTCCCTCCCCACTTTGGCAGGACAGTTGCTGTGCGACTTGGACAGTAGAGGAGCGCCTCCCAAGTTTTCATCCAACTGCCACCCCCAAAGCTTCCACCCTCCTCCCCTCAGAGAGAGGACGTTTGATGCCCGGCCCCTGAGATTCTCATTGGCAAGCCCCTCTGGGTCCCCCTGAGCAGAGCCTGCCGACCCAATTGCCCAACTTTGCGGCTTTGATGCTTAGCCATGTCTGCCTCATCCTCAGGCGGCTCCCCCAGGTACAGCCAATGTGGGGGGCGCCTTTGCAGTAGGGCAGGGAAAGGTGGTCAGGGCTCCCCAGGCCAGGCTCAATGGAAACTTCTTTTTAGTTTCCTAGGTACTGAAAGTCTGGGCCAAGAACACTTAAAAGTGCCTTTGAAAGGGGAGGAGTAAAGGCAACATAGGCTCTCTCCCTGCGCCTTCCTAGTAGCAAACAAGATCACTCTTAACCGAGTATTATGCTCTGAGTTCAGCTTGGCTTCAGACTCATTAGGTAGCCAAGGTTGTCCTTGAATTCCTGGTTCTCCTACCTCCGTGTCCCATGTGGTGGCTTAAAAGCATTTCCCACCATACCACCTCTAAACTAGTGTTGCAGTGAGCAGGATAGCACGAGTAAGTAGAAGGGGAAAACTTGTTTCTAGTTCGAACATTTTTTTCTTCCAAGTGACGGTCCAGCTCAGCCAATAGTTATTTGTAAGTGAATTGAGCAAAGTGCCTACCCCAGTGCTGGTGCTTCAGGTTTCAAGTCTTTCCCCACTAGAGTTGGTGAGGTCAGCCGAAGGCTATCTGGGGACTCTAAGGAGGCAGTGGGCTAGGTTAGCTTTGATCATTCCAGGCCGTTCTCCCCCAGCCTGAACCTGGGCTGGACTGCTAACTCTGGAGCACAGTATTGGCTGTTTTGCGATTGTCATGTTGGGCTGTATATGTACAAGCAAGGCTCTTGCATGAGCAGTGAGTGGACTACGTTGGGAAGTGGGGTCTTCATGTGCTCCAGCAAACGTGTGAGCCTTCCTTTTACAAGCTTGTGACACAGTGACTTTGCTCCTGAGCTGCATGTCTCCTTGGTTAACCTTTCACTGAACGCTTCCCCAGAGGAACTTGGGGACTGTAACCCTTGTTGAGACTGGTGCCTTGGTCACCTGATAGGATGACAGGTAGGCTTTCAGCACAAGGTCACAATCCATGTGATGCGATGGCAGGGTTAAAAGGCCAGACACCCTTCACCTTGTATCCATCCTCCTGCTGGGCACACCATGCGTGCCTTGTGCTCATCTACAGGGAGCCAAGGGATTCAAGACTGGCTGCCAGCTCAATAGCCACCACATATGCAGTGTGTCATTTCCCAAGAGCTGAGACATAGAAGAGCCTTGAGTTTCTGCTTATAATCTGGTTCTTGTGCCCGGGTGCAGGTTTCCATCGTGTGGGAAGAACGGAGTAACGAGTCTCACACAGAAAAAAGTCTTGAGAACACCTTGTGGCGCACCCAGTGTAACTGTGACGGTAGGTGACTCACAGCAACACCAGCAGAACCACTTCTGCACGCCTCTGCTCGTGGCTGCCCATGTGTTCTGCACAGCATGGCCTGCTTGCGGATAAAAGACCCAGGTGTGAGGAGTTTGTCAGGATATCCTTCCAGGGAAATCCCAATAGAACAGACATTTTGGAAAGGAAAAAGAAAAAATTAAAAAGCATGAGCGAGATGGGACGGGAGCTGCTGGTGGGCCAGGCTGTTCTTGGGGGACGGCTCTGCTTGTGTTTTCTTTGGAGTCTGTACAACCTTCTCACACTTGGCATCCCCACCAGCCTCTGTGCCCTAGTATCTTACTTGCATATGGCCTGCATGTATCTGTACCTTTACTATTTTGAGTGTTTCCATACTAATTTGCATGCCTGATTGAAAGATACAGCTTTGCAGCTGACCTATACTAAGTCCAAGGAGGAGCTGCCTAATCTATCTGGCTTGGGTGGAGCTGCAGCTCTGAGGACCCTGCTTGTGCTTTTAGAGAACCTTGTCCTGAGTGGACCTGGAGGCTTCAGCTGAGACCTCTGCAGAGTCCGCCTAGGTGACACGCCGGCCTTGCTTCCCACTTGCATGCCAGGAGTTGGCAGCTGCCCTGCTCGCTTGGCGGCTGAGCTTTCGGGTGTCCCCAGAAGCCTCTGAGCTCTGTGTTCATGCCCAGTTTGCTCATCCACAGATCGATCTTTTTTGTGTTGCCCTCCCCTGCCTGCCAGAAGTGAACCATGAAGGACCGATCTTCAACTCCCCCCTTACATGTTCATGTGGATGAGAACACTCCTGTCCACGTCCACATAAAAAAACTCCCGAAACCATCAGCAGCCAGCAGCCAGGTAGGAGCATGGCAGCGGGGCGAGGTCACGGCTGTGGATCAGGGCACCGTCTCCCGGCCCAGCCTCCTCGCACTTCTGACTCCAAAGGTTTGGGAGACACTTTTTTTTCCTGGAGGTCAGTTGGCTGGTAAGAAGGTAGGCCTCTGGTCTCCAGGAGCAGCAGCAGCAGCAGTAACAGTAACAGTAACATTACTCAGAAGAGGCCCCCCTGCAAAGGTGGTATATCCCACCAGAGTGACACTGGGCAGCTGGGCCTAGAGATGACTCTAGTTTTGTCCCTCCCCACAGAAATCTCATAAGCGCGGAATGAAAGGGGACACCGTGAATGTACGGCGGAGTGTCCGGGTGAAAACCAAGGTACCTTGGATGCCCCCTGGAAAATCATCTGCCCGGCATGTGGGATGCAAGTGGGAGGTAGGCTCAGTCGTGTTCAGGGTTCTCTTCTTGGACTGTCAGTCAGAGTCTAGCAGGCCTCAGACTTGGTGTGATTGCAGAAATTCCAGCGAGCCTCATTTACTGAGTGCCTTTGTAAACCCTGAAAGCTTACGGCATCACTTAGACTCGTTCAGCTTTGCTGTGTGGTAGGTCTTGCTGTCCCATTGTAGAGATGAAATAGCTGGGAGCTGACTTGCCCAGAGTCTCACAGAGAGAGCGGCAGAGCTGGAGTCAGGACTCTGTCTCATTTTGGAGACTGAACTTAGCCTTTGCTTTGCCACATAGATTTACATGTCTGTCATAGTATCTGAAGTATAATTAACATTGAGGTTGGGTAACTGTGAACGTGTAATATACCGACCTATAAAATAGGCAAGAAAATGTGGCTGACCATATGGATAATGCAAGTATCTCATCCACACTACTTGGGAACAAATGAATTATCTTCAATATTAGTAGCCAAGAAAATATGTGTCTTATGCTATACCTTAACAGTGTTTATCCATGTACCTGCTCAATCACCCACCAACTCATCCACCCACCAATTCATCCATCCACCCACTCATCCATCTGTCCCTCCATCCACCCACCCATCCATCCATCCATCCACCCACCCACCTACTCATCCATCTGTTCACCCACCCACCCACCCACGCATTCATCTACCACCAGCCTTAATCAGCCATTCATCTAATGATTCACTCACGGTGCATTTATTGAGACTTGCACCATGCGTTGTCAGCATGGGTTCTAGCTACAAGCCTAGAAAGACATGTTCTTTATTATTTCTTTAAAGCTCATTGCAGTGAAGAACTCATGATAAGAAAAGGCTAAAATAGCTTTCAGTTAAGTTCTGAACAAACTCAGCATCGTCAGTAGAAGTAAAGACTTCAAAATAATGCTTCAATATGCTGCCAATGCCTTTAACTCCAGCGCACAGCACTCAGAAGGCAGAAGCAAGTAGGTGGCTCTCTGAGTTCAAAGACAGCCCACTCTACTCAGTACACTCCAGACCAGCCAGGGTTACATGGTGATACCTTGACTCACAAAACTTGCTCAGCCTGATCTTTTAGAGTCAGTTGTTTTCTTAGTCTTTTTCTTACAGTTTGTTACTCTGAAAATAAGAAACCCCCCCAAAATGGATGTAGTTGTGACATTCATAATCATACCACATGGATTTGACTCTTTGCCAGTTTATTCACAGAGAATCTGGGTATCCGCTGGAACGTATAGAAAATGTTATGAACAGTATAAAAACACAAGGAAAATGGGAATTTCTGGTGGGGGTGTAACTCACTTGGGGGCATGCTTAGCTTGTTTGAGGCCCTGGGTTCAGTGCCCTAGTAGTGCCCTCCTGAAAGGTACTGCTCCCTTAAAAGAAGGCTGAAATAAAAATGGTTCCTTAACATGATTTTACTACTATGGTAGCAGTCATTGAAAACTGAAATCGTTGCCAGGCAGTGGTGGTGCACGCCTTTAATCCCAGCACTTGGGAGGCAGAGGCAGGCAGATTTCTGAGTTCGAGGCCAGCCTGGTCTACAGAGTGAGTTCCAGGACAGCCAGGGCTACACAGGTTTCGAAACCCTGTCACGAAAAACCAAAAAAAGAAAAAAAAAAGAAAACTGAAATCGTGCAGAGCGTGGTTGTACAGTTCTTGAATTCTAGCACTCAGGAGGCAGAGGCAGGTGGATCTCTGTGAGTGTGAGGCCAGCCTGGTCTACAAAGCAAGTCCAGGAAAGCCAGGGCTTGTTACACAGAAAAACCATGTCTCAAAAATCCAGCCCACCAACCAACCAAAAGAAAAAAAAAAAAAAAAAAAAAAAACGGAAACATTCATTTCCAGGAAAGTGCCAGATGTCATGGTGAGTGTTTATAATCCCAGCTTTTGGAAGGCTGAAGCAGAAGGATTGCTTAGACTAGAGGCCAGCGAGGACTTAGTGAGGCTTTGTCTCAAAATCAAAAATAAAGAAATTGGAGCAAAAATAGCAAGGTATCATTTTTATTGACTGGAAAGGAGTTTAAAGCGAGAGATGCTCGGGTAGGACCACTGACTGCTCCTGCAGAAGACCTGGGTTCAGTCCCACACGGTGCTTCATGCCCCTGACTTAAGCTAGACCGCTTTCTTCCATGGGATACCCTCTTCTGGCCTCGGCACCTACGAGGCACACACATGTTGCACAGACATACAAGTGGCAAAACATGCATGCACATAAATTAAAAATAAGTAAATCAGCCAGGCAGTAGTGTCATGTGCCTTTAATCCTAGCACTCAGGAGGCAGAGGCAGGTGGATCTCTGAGTTAGAGGCCAGCCTGGTCTACAGAGCAAGTTCTAGGACAGCCAGGGCTACACAGAGAAACCCTACTTCTAAATAAGTAAGTAAGTAAACAAAGAACTAAATCTTTAAAAAGTAGAAACAGAAAAAATAGAAATTTTAGAAGAGAAAGGATGTAAAAGACTTTAGTTATCCCATGTCATCAGCACACTGATATCAAGAAGTTTTGAAGACATTGTTGCTGTTGAAACAGGGTCTCAGGTAGCTTAGGCTGGCTTCACACTTGCTATTTAGTTGAGGATGTACCACTTGTGTGCCTCATGCCCATGGAGGCCTGAAAAGGGCATCAGATTTCCTGGAACTGGAGTTACAGATGGTAACTGTAACCTGGTAGATGGTAACATACTGGTTTGTGAGCCAGCATATGGGTGCTGAAATCAACCCTGGCTCCTCGGGAAGACTGGCCACCGCTCTTAACTAGGGAACCATTGCTCTAGCCCCAGTATTTATTTATTTATTTATTTATTTATTTATTTATTTATTATTTATTTTTTGGTTTTTCTTTTTTTTGGTTTTTCGAGACAGGGTTTCTCTGTGTAGCCCTGGCTGTCCTGGAACTCACTCTGTAGCCCAGGCTGGCCTCGAACTCAGAAATCCGCCTGTCTCTGCCTCCCAAGTGCTGGGATTAAAAGCTTGCGCCACCACCGCCCGGCTATTTATTTTTATATATGTATTAAGCAACCAGTGCTCTTGAGTACAGAAGCACGGCTCCAGCCTCAGGGTTTAGTTTTACATATGTATCTATGGGAGCGGACTGGTAAGTGTGGGTGCCCTAGGTTCTCAGAGGCTCTGCATTGCCTGGAGTCAGTTATAAATGGCAGTTGCTCTGAATCACCGGATATGGGTACCAGCAACTGAATCCCAGTTCTCTGTGAGAACAGGATACCCTCTTTTTTTTTTTTTTTTTTTTTTTTAACAGGATACCCTCTTAATGCTGAGCTGTTTCTTACTCCATCAGATCTGCTCTGACTTTTTGAGACAGGGTCTTATTGTTTATTCCTTGCTGGTCTAAAACTCACTGTGTAGCTCACACTGGCTTCACATTCAGAGATCAGCTTGCCTCTGCTGAGATCCGTCGCATGTACCATCATGCCCAGCCTCCCACCACTTTTTTTTTTTTGAGACAGGATCTCTATTATTATGTAGTACCCTGGCTGTCCTGGAATTCACAATATTGACCATGCTGGCCTTGAATTCCCAGAGGTCTACCTGCCCTCTGCCTCAAGAGTACTGAGGTTAAAACGCCTATGCCGCACACCCAGCTCCTGTCCTTTTTAAAAATTAAAAAGATGTGTGTGTAGCAACTGAGCTACATCTCTATTTCTAGATACTTTTAAAAAAAAATCCCATTTATTTATTTATTTGTGTCTGCAGGTGCATGCAGGTCAGAAAGTAACTTAGGGAGTTGGTTCTGGCCTTCTACTGTGTAGAGTTTGGCTGTCTTTGTATAGAAGCAATGTGTCTGTGTCTTATGTGCATGCACAGACTGATTTACACATGCTAGGAGGATCTGTAAGCTGTGACGAGTGCTGCTTGCCTCCCGGCATGGCATGCGTTACTGTCGTTTCCTTCTGTTTTATGAGACAGCCTCATGTTGCCCCAGCTGACCTTGAAGTCTCTGTATAGCTGAGACTGGCCTAGAACGGATCTTTCTGCCTCCATATCCAAGTTGCTAGGATTCCAGTCAGCACACCCAGCTTCCATCTCTGCTAAACTTTATTACACTGTATATCTAACTTTTGCTCCTGAATATTGGATCCAGGTTCTTTTTATTTTTTTATTTCATTTTATTTTATATATATTTTTTATGTTCAGATTCTGTTATTATTTTGAGGCAGTCTATGTAGCTCTAGTTGGTTTGGCATTCTTTTTTTTTTTGTTTGTTTGTTTTGTTTTTGTCTTTTTGAGACAGGGTTTCTCTGTGTAGCCCTGGCTGTCCTGGAACTCACGCTGTAGACCAGGCTGGCCTCGAACTCAGAAATCTGCCTCTGTCTCCCAAGTGCTGGGATTAAAGGCGTGCACCACCACTGCCCAGCTGGCCTGGCATTCTTTACAGAGTCCAGCTGGCTTTGAATTCAGTGATACACCTACCATACCTGGCAAAGTTTCTGTAAATAAGCATCATATATTATACTACTTTTCCTTTGTTTTGTTTGTTTTGCTTTTTCAGAAAGGGTCTCTATGTAGTCTTGGCTCTCCTAAAATTCACTATGTCTGCTTGCTGAGTGCTGGGATTGATGGTGTGTGCTACCATGCCTAACATGCAATCATATATTATGAAAAATAACTTTCTAGCTTGGCAGTGGTGACTCACACTTTTAATCCCAGCACTTGAGAGGCAGAGGCAGGCGGATCTCTGAGTTTGAGGCCAGCCTGGTCTACAGGTGAGTTCCAGGACAGTCAAGACTACAGAGAGAAGCCATTTTTGGAATAACAAAAAAACAAAAACAAAAAAACTTTTTTTTTTAAAGTGAAGAGGCTTGGGCCTGCTGTAGATGTGCAGGTCTGTAATCCAAGTACTGAGGTGGCCAAGGCAAGATCACTGTGCATGAAGCCAACCCAGGCTACATGACCCTCTGTCAGTAGAAAAAAAATCAAGGCATTGTCGCTCACAGTTCTGCTGTCAGCATGCAGAAGTATGAGACAGAAGGATTATGAGAAGCTTGAGGCCATTCTAGGCTACAGAGTGAAGTCAGGCCAGCCTGGATCTACCCACCTGCCTGGCCTAGTAAATAGTAGGTTATGTCTATAATCTTAGCACTGGATAGCCTGGGCTGCTGTGTGAGACTTCATTTAGAAAAACATAACAAGAGGCTTTAGTCCCAGCACTCAGGAGGCAGAGGTAAGTAGATCTGAGTTTGAGGCCAGCTTAGTCTATAGAGCCAGGAATTTCTAGGAGCCAGGGTTTCATAGAGAAACCAAAACACAAAACACAAAAGAGGGTGGGGATGGGACTGGCAACAAGGTGCTCTGTGTGTACAAGAGCCTGCAGCAGCCAAGTCTTATGATCCCAGATTTAGTCCTGGGACTCACGCGGTAGAAGGAAAGAGGTGTTGCTCTGAGTGGCTGCTGAGATGGCTCAGTGGGTAAAGGTGTAGTCTGATCATTCAAGTCTGTGACCTGAGCTAGATTCCTATAAATCATGGAGGCATAGATGTCAAGAATCAGCCTCACAAAGCTTTCCTCTGACCTGCACATGTACACCATGGCATACACAAGTATAAACACAGACACAGACACACACAGCTTAACAAAAAGATGCTGTGGATATTACCCTTTCTGTTACTATGGGTTGCTGAAAGAAATAGTTCTGCTCCCTTGCCTGGAAGCTTAATTTTAGAGATTTCCTGCTTTGTCTTGGGTTGGCCTCCATCTTTGTTCTGGTGATGCCTGGAAAGCTCTGACCTCCTGCTTTACATTTAGAACAAAAGGGAAAGGTCCTAGGATGTTCACATTTGGGATAGAGCCAGAAATAGAGAGCAGAGGCCACTATAACTCCTGAGGGTACTTTCTTTCTTGCTTGCTTTCTTGCTTTATTTATTTATTTCAGATTTTATTTTACATGTTGAGTGCTCTGCTTGTATGTGGGTCATGTGTGTGCTTGGTGTCACACAGGTCTGAAGAGGGCGTCGGATCCTCTGAATCAGATGGTTGTGGACTACCATACTGATGTTGGGAATGGAGCATCATCTGTGCTCTTGCAAAGGCACTGGGTTCAGTTCCCAGAATTGACCAGAATTGCAGTTCCAGGGACATGCAGTGCCCGTGGAGCTCAGGAAAGAAATCGGATCTTCTAGAAATGGATTTATAGGCTGTTATGAACCATCCTGTGAGTGCTGGGAGTCAACCCTGGTTCCTCTGCAAGAACAACAAGTACTCTGTATTCTCATTTGATGTGTTGCTGATGGTGGTACTGGAGATTGACTCAGTCTCAGGCAAGCTTACACTCTACCGCAGAGCGGCACCCCAGATCTCAGTGGGTTATGTTTCTTTAGAAGAAAGATCTAAGGTTTTTTTTCAGTCTTTTTTAACTTTTTTTTTTTTTTTTTTTGGTTTTTCGAGACAGGGTTTCTCTGTGTAGCCCTGGTTGTCCTGGAACTCACTCTGTAGACCAGGCTGGCCTTGGAACTCCAAAATCCACCTGCCTCTGCCTCCCAAGTGCTGGGATTAAAGGCGTGCGCCACCACTGCCCGGCTTAACATCTTTTTAAACTTTATTTATTTATCTTTATGTATCTGAGTAATCTGTCTTCACACACACCAGAAGAGGGGATTAGATCCCATTTCAGGTGGTTGTGAGCCACCATGTGGGTGCTGGGAATTGAACTCAGGACCTCTAGAAGAACAGCTAGTGCTCTTAACCATCTCTCTAGCCCTTTTAAAATTTTTTTTTGAGAAAGGATCTCATTGTATAGCTGAGGTGAAACTCCCTGTGTAGATCAGGCTGGCCTTGAGGTCATAGAGAAGTCCTCAGTGCTGGGAGTCCAGATGCAAGCCAGCATGCCCAGTTTCTGCTTTGTCTGGCCTAGTCTCATCAAACCTTCCTGTTTCTCTCACCATCATAGTTTCACTTTTGCATGGATTTTTAATTTTTTTTTAATGATTTTTATGTGCGTGAGTGTCTGCCTAGATATATGTCCTTGTACTATGTGTATGCAGTGCCAGCAAAGGCCAGAAAGGGTATTGGGTCCCCTAGGACTGGAGATGCAGAGAGGTGTGAGCAGCCATGTCAGCAAATGCTCTAACCTGGCGGGGCGGTCGTGGTGCACACCTTTAATCCCAGCACTTGGGAGGCAGAGGCAGGTGGATTTCTGAGTTCGAGGCCAGCCTGGTCTACAGAGTGAGTTCCAGGACAGCCAGGGCTACACAGAGAAACCCTGTCTCGAAAATCCAAAACCAAACCAAACAAACAAAAAAGTTGTAATCTGCTGAGCCATGTCTCTGGCCCTGCTTTGTTTTTCATGGTGCTCGGGATTAAATAAAAGCCCTGTGTGTACTAGGCCAGTGCTCTGCTCCCTGAGCTGCTGCTCTAGGCTATTGCTGTTTAAAAAGAGTCCTAGTCCTAGTCCTAGTCTCGCTGTCATCTCAGAGTGGCCTCATCCGTTCCTTTGCTGTTAGTGAGAATTCAGGCACCTTTTTCTTAGGACTACATAAGCTGTTTCTGTAACTTTTTTGTTTTTGCTTTGCTAGAGGTTAAAACACTTCCTTTGATGAGTTCTTGCTATGTTGCCCAGTCTGATGTAAATCTGTAGGCTCAAGTGATTCTCCTGCTTCAAATTTTGCAGTAATTGGGACTAAAGATGTAGTGTTAATTTTTATTGTGTTTCTGAGACAAGGTCTCATGAACTCAGGGCTGACCTTGAACTTGCTGTGTAGTGAAGGATAACCTTGAATTTATATGATCCTCCTGTCTTGACCTCTCAAGTGCTGGAACGTGTGCCACCACTCCCAGCTGCTTGTTTTGTGTTAGGGGTTGAACCCAGGGCCATGTATATGGTAGGCATTGAGTTAGAGCCCTAGCTCTATTCTTGTTTTGCTTTGTTCTGTTTTTAAATTATATTTATCTAATTTGGCTTATATATGTCTATCCATGGCTGGCTTGGAACTCACTGTGTAGGCCAGGCTGGCCTTGAGTTTACAGAGAGCCACCGGCTCTGCGTCCTCTGGTTTGATTACAGAGTATATGCAGAGTATACGCATGTGAGTGTGTGCGTATACTTCAGGAAGCCGGAAGAGGGCACCAGCCTCCCGGGAATGGACTTAGAGGGAGCTGGGAGTCTGCTCCCTGATGTCCTGGGAGCAGACTTGGCCGTCTGCAAGATCAGTACACATTCTTAACTGCTGAGCCATCTCTCCAGCTCTCGTATTCTAAGTTTTATTGTATAGGTATTTTGCCTGAGTGTATGTAAAACACTGTATGTATATCTTGGAAGCTAGAAGAGATATGTCACTTCTCTTCAAATTTTGGAGGCAGGGTTTCTCTGTGTAGCCCTGACTGTCCTGGGACTCTGGAGACCAGGCTGGCCTTGAACTCGGATCCACCTGCCTCTGCCTCCTGAGTGCTAGGATTAAAGGCGGGCAGTCACCACTTGCACCACCATGTGTTTCTCTCTTTTTCTCCTTTTTAAAAGGTAGAGTGTTTCTTTATGTTGCCTGATCTGTTCTTGAGTTCCTCTTCCAGAAGTCTCAGCCTCCTAAGTAGCTGGAACTATTCAGGCACACAGCACGCAAACCTGACTTTCTTTATAACTTAATATTCTAACCCATGCCTTTTTTTTCAATGTTAGAAATTCTTCAAAACCATCATTTAGACTTGGGCAGGTAATGTTTCCTTCAGGAGGGTCTGGAGTGGTTGGTTCCTGGGCAGGACCTCTGGGTTGACGTTGGCTTGTGTTGGCTCTGCCAGCCATTTTAGCAGTCAGCAAGCCTCGAGTGAGCAAATAACTTAACTGGAATTCTGTCAGAGGCTTGGCCTTAGCAGCTTATGTGTCTCTCTCTCCTTTGCATCAGAATCCACCTCATTGCCTGGAGATCACACCACCATCTTCAGAAAAGCTGGTCTCGGTGATGCGATTAAGTGACCTTTCTACAGAAGACGACGATTCAGGTCACTGTAAAATGAACCGTTACGATAAGAAGATTGACAGTCTAATGAACGCGGTCGGTTGTCTCAAATCTGAGGTATGGGAGCTGCTGGGCTGCACAGCTGGTACCCTGAGAACAAGCAGATTGGGCTAAGCTAGTTAGCTCGTGGATGCTTCCATCAGGCTGCCTCTGCCGGCCTCCCATCCGCCCTCAGCAAGCTGTTCCAGGGCATCTATTTGGAGTGGCCAGTGGTCAGCTTGAGTTTCCACCATACTGGAGCCCTCTCTGAATTCTTAGCTTTTCTGGTACTCTCAGTGGGTAGCCAGATTTGGTTCGTGATATCAAGGGTCCTTGTGTTAGCCCTTGTTTGTTTGTTGTGTGAGTCATTGTCTCACAATGTAGCTCCGGTGGCCGAAGACTTGAGCCATTCTTTAGTGCCTACTGAGGGCTGCACTTTCAGGAGTGTGCTGCTCCCTGGCTCAGTGCTTCCACCCAGATAAAGTGTCTGTAAAACAGAGAGCACAGCCTTTGCTACTTAGAAAAGCTGAACAGGAGTAGAGGAGACAAGGGAAACCTCTCTTCACATGTGGCAGGGACACTTGTGGGGAGGGAGATGGAAATGGAGCTGGTAACAGCCCACCTGTGGACCCTGACCTGGAAGCAGGGAGTGCTGGCATTAAAAGCCAGGTCCTGACTGCTAAGGTACCTGTGTTTTTTTTTTTAACTCTCTACTCTATTGGAGGTTCTAAGACCTTTCTGGCAGACAGGCCCTCTTACTCCATAGCCACTGTGCTTTTTTTGTGACATCTTTCCTCCTGTGGCATGCCAACTGTACTACTGTTGCTGCCTGGCCCCACCCCTGGCTAGCACGCATCACTCAGCTTCTTTGTACTCAGGTTCTTCATGTATCGACAGGGTAGAGTGTATGTCCGCAGGAGGAGAACAGTCAATGTTTGTGTGACTGTTTGCTGGGACAATGTCCAGAAGCTCCCAGACACAGAGCCCTATCACTTTTCTTAGTAGGGTTACATACATGTAGCAATGGCTCTTCAGGGACAACCTATCCTTTTGGTTTCCCTTTCCTGTGTCCCCTTTCCAAGGTCAAGATGCAGAAAGGTGAACGCCAAATGGCCAAAAGGTTCCTGGAGGAGAGGAAGGAAGAACTGGAGGAGGTAGCACACGAGCTTGCAGAGACGGAGCATGAGAACACGGTGCTCAGACACAACATCGAGCGCATCAAGGAGGAGAAGGACTTCACCATGTAAGGGACCCCGGAGAGGTTCAGGCCTTCCTGTTGGCCCAGAGCCCTGGAAGCAAAATGAAGACAGTGGAGGGAGGCAGCTCTGGTGGTACCTGTGGGGAGCCAGCACAGCATATGGCTGTCCTTGGAGGAAAAGAAGGTCCCAGTGGTGGTGGGTTTGGATAATGGATAGAGAATTCCTTTAAATGGGCTGTTGGGGAGATGGGACTGTGGGAGTAGGCAGGTAAGCCTTGGAAGAAGAAGTGTGGAGATCCTTTTGTGGGGAAATCCAGAATAGACGTCCTTTACCCTGAGCAATAGGAAGTCAGTTAAGGTTGGCTGCAGAGGGTGAAAGCTGCCACAGAGATTCCAGGGCTTGGAGAGCTGGCATGATATATATATATATATATATATATATATATATATATATATATACACACACACACACACATACATACATATATACTTGTAGGTATAGAATCCAAGGCCTGAGCATGTTCAGTGCTTTACCTCTGAGCCACAACCCCCTGGCCTGTTGGGTAACACGTTGAGAATGTCCTGAGCAGGTGCCAGGCATGGCAGTATATGTCTGTAGACATAGTACCAGGAGGTAGATCCAGCAGGATTGGGAATTAAAGCCTGGTCCTTGCGACATAGCAAGTTCCCAAGCTATCAGAGAACCAGACTCAAACAGCAGAGCAACTGCTGAGGCTGGGCGAGTGAGCTCAGGAACATGGAGGCAGTCTTGATAGTCAAAGCCTCGGGCCCTGGGTAGAGCCCCTGCTCTCACACTAAAGCTGGTAGGTCTCTGGGCCCTCCTTCCAGAAGGCCACCTGGGCAGGAAGAGCTGTCTGCACCTCTTCTTCATTGTTTCTTGGCAGGAAGGGAGACTCTCAGGCCATTGTGAGGTGTGGGCATCAGAGCTCTGGGTAGGCTGGGCCCTGCTAACTCTCAGGAATCTTGTTTTTCTGGCCCCAGGCTTCAAAAGAAACACCTCCAGCAGGAGAAGGAATGCCTCATGTCCAAACTGGTGGAGGCTGAAATGGACGGAGCAGCTGCAGCCAAGCAAGTCATGGCCTTGAAGGATACCATCGGGAAGCTGAAAACCGTAGGTGGAGCCATAGGATGGGTGGGGGTGGGGTGGGGGTGGGGGCTTTACGAAGTCATCAGACTGACTTTATGACATCTCCAGGCTGGGGGAGGGCACACCTAACTGCTCAGTCCCAACCCCCCCACACTCTCACTTCCTGGGCCTTGGTCCCTTGAAGATGACCTCTGTTGATCAGGGCATCTGAGGAGACCAAATCATGGGCCACTTGGGACCACAGTGAGTCAAGGCATGTGGTTGATTCCTGCGAGTGTCAGCCACCAAATATTGCCATCTCTCTTGCCTCCTGCAGGAAGCCTACCCTTACCACACTCATTTAGACCGAGCACTCCCATCCCCCTCTCCACCCTCCCCTTCCCCACACCCATTTCAGGACACCTGTCCTTGACCCCTGTGCCTCAGTGCCTCAAGTCTTGGCTTCTGGCAGCTCCCCTTCTTGCAGCACTCTGCCCGTCTCCCCTGCTGTGTAACATACACGGGCTGCCTGCCCTGCAGTGTGTAACATACGCTGCTCCTCCAGGAGAAACAGATGACTTGCACCGACATCAACACCTTAACGAGGCAGAAGGAACTTCTCCTGCAGAAGCTGAGTACCTTTGAGGAGACCAACCGTACCCTCCGAGATCTGTTGAGGGAGCAGCACTGCAAAGAGGTGAGCATCTGACCTAGGGTCCTCTGAAAGGACCAGAGAGAGACTCAGGGACTGGGAGACGCAAGTGTTTGGTACTGTCACAGCTGATCTGGAAGCAGAAGGACCAGAGCAGTCAGAAGGTACTTCTGGGAGTCGGGAGTGGGTCTCAGACCTAAAGTTTCTTCTTCTCTTCCTCTTTTTCTTCTCTCCTCCCTACTCTCTCTCTTCCTTGAATATTAATGGTGTAGCCTAAGCTAACTTCAAGCTCACAGTGTTCTTGCCTCAGCTTTCAAAATGCTGGAGCTAGGTGGGAGCCACCACACCTCCCTCAGACTGCGTTTTACAGTAGGTAGAAAAATAAGTAGTGGCTAGTGTCTAGAAATTGAGTGATTTCACCTGATTTTCTTAGTTCCAAGTGTACACTGTTCAAGTATAGTGGACTGTGCATGTTATGTCAGGCCCTTAGACTAGTCTGAGGGGCGTCTGGAAGTTTGAAGCCCATTTGGGCTGTAATATAATGAGACCATGTTCTAAATAAACATTTTTTAAAAGGCAGAGAAAAATTAGAGGAGACAAAAAAGCTGGGGATATTGCTCAATGTTGGAGTCTTGCCTCTCACACACAGGTCTCTAGGTTAAATTCTTAGAACCACAGAAACCTAGGTATTGAGTGCATGCATGTATATGGTGCATGTATATGTACATGCATATCGTGACAAATATGGAGATCAGAGAATAATTTTGTGGAATTGGTTCTCCTACCTTTATGCGAGTTCCAGGACTCAAACTCAGGTTACCAGGCTTACATAGTAAGCTGAGTAATCTTGGAGGCCTTACTTAATTCTGAGAAGGGTTTCATACAGCTGCAGCTTGGCTAGAACTTAATCTCTAGCTGAGGGCAAGCTCCAACTTTTGGTCCTTCTGTGTGCACCTCCCAAAGTGCCCCACTCCTGACTCTGTCCTGTGTGCACACTCCTTCCTCTGTCCTGTGTGCACCTCCCAAAGTGCCCCACTCCTGACTCTGTCCTGTGTGCACACTCCTTCCTCTGTCCTGTGTGCACACTCCTTCCTCTGTCCTGTGTGTACCTCCCAAAGTGCCCCACTCCTGACTCTGTCCTGTGTGTACCTCCCAAAGTGCCCCACTCCTGACTCTGTCCTGTGTGCACCTCCCAAAGTGCCCCACTCCTGGCTTTGATGTCCCTTGGCCTCTGCCTCCTGAGTGGCAGGACTAAAATGTGTGTGCCTCCACATCCGGCCCGGAAACAGGGATTTTGAGAGAATAGGAGGGTGACAGTAAGGCAGTAGTAGTATTTTTGGAGGGCAGGTAAGTGTCTCGTTTTATGGCTGGCCTGGGACTCAAGGTTGTCATCCAACCTGTGCTTCCTGAGTGCTGGGATTCCAGGCCTGAGCTGTCACGCCCAGCTTCAGCATGCTGTTTGGTGGTAGATACATGTACTTTATGGACTCAAGATCATTGTATGTAGGACATATATTGCACACTGGTGGGAACAGCACTTAGAATCTACTTTTTTTTTTTTTTTTTTTTTTTTTTTTTGGTAGTTTACTAACCAGAATCATTATGTTGCATGGTAGGTCTTTTGAACTTCCTGTTTTGTATTTTGTAGTATGCAGTGCCTGCAGAGGCCGGAAGAAGGCATCAACTCCCTTAGAGAGCTGTTATTGGGTGGTGGGAACTGAACTCCAGGTCCTCTGCAAGAGTAGTCTACACTCTTTAACTGCTGAGCCATCTTTCCAGCCCTGTAATGGAATTTTGAATTCTTGCCCAATATCTCACCAGTTGTACCTCCTGGATCTGCTTGTGTTTTGAGTTGCAGATTCTGTATATGAATGAGGTGATGCTGCCTTTGTCTGTCTGTGCCTTCCTTATTTAATACTGTGTTCCTCAGGTTCAACTATGCTCTGCACAAATGGCAGACACCCCCACCCCCAGTGGCCACTGAGAAATAATGTGTGTCTCATTGTGCACTGTGTTGTACTTGTTCATCAGTGGCTTTCCAATAGAGTTGACTCTTGGGCTTATAAATACTGCTAGGTTAGCAGATATTTGTATTTTCCATGGTTCTGAGGATTGAGGAAGGGGCACATGCATGTTAGACAAGAGCTTTATACTGAGTTACATCCCCAGCCCAGCGAACGTTCCTGTTTGTCTCATACATGCACACACACACACAGAGGCACACATAATAACTAATAAAAAATACTATACCCATTGCCCAGCTTTCAGTGCCAAGTTCTTGTGTCTCCATTTGTGCTAATCTCCTTAATGAGAAACTATATTTTTGTTTTTATTTTCTTTTATGTGTATGCATATTTGCCTGCATGTGTCTGTATACCATGTTGGTTGAAACAAGGGTCGCATTCTATAGCCTGGGCGTGCCTGGAACTCAGCCTGTGGCCTTAGACCCACAGCAACCTTCCTGCTTCAGCCTCTGAAGTACTGGGATAGCAGGTGTCAGGTACCATGCCCCCCTAATACTTTTATTTTTTTTTAAGATTTATTTTATGTATATGAATACACAGTGGCTATCTTCAGATATAATAGAAGAGGGCATCAGATCCCATTACAGATGGTTGTGAGCCACCATGTGGTTGCTGGGAATTGAACTCAGGACCTCTTCTAGAGCAGTCAGTGGTCTTAACTGCTGAGCCATCTCTCCAGCTCCTACTTTTATGACATTACCTCTCCTTAAGGCCTAATATGGGTTTCATGACTATATTCTCATTGGAGGGGGCCTTTTCTGTTGATGGACACTTGTCAGTCTGTTTCTGCCATGTTGTATTTATGTCTGTCATCCCACTGTGCTTGAAAGTTTATGAATGCATGGCAGCATAGGCCTGGGAGGGAGAGGTAGAGGATTGTCATGTTTGTGCCCAGTCTGCGATACACAGTGATTTCCAAACTACATAATGAGAGCCTGTCTCAAATACATAGATGATAGACAGATAGATAGTCTAGACTATTTTCCTATTAATGTTGTTAGTTATAGTCAAATTCTTCTCTAAAATAGGAACACTTATTTAATTTCTGGCTTGGTGATCCCAGGAAGGTAATTCATACCTCAGTATCCCCATGAAATGGGAAAACAAACATCCTCCACTTGGGACTGTGCAAAGATGAGAGAATTTATGAATGAGAACTGACAGACTGACATTCTTCCTGGCATGTACAAGTGCCTGCAAATTGTAGTTGCTGTTTCTTGACCTGGGAAGGTGTGGCACTTCAGAAAGCTGTCCTATAGCCATTTTGATTTTTTTCTTTTGTGGGGAACAGGGGAGGGTTTTGTATTGTTTTAAAGATTTATTTATTTAATGTATATGAGTACACTCTCACTTTCTTCAGACACAACAGAAGAGGGCATTGGGTCCTGTTATAGAGGGTTGGAAGGCCACCAGGGCTGGGAGCCACCATGTGGTTGCTAGGAATTGAACTCAAAACCTCTGGAAGAGGAGTCAGTGCTCTTAATTACTGAGGCATATCTCCAGTCCCATGTTTGTTTTTGTTTGTTTGTTTTTTGTTTGTTTGATAACAGGTATTCAGTAAGTAGCCCCTGCTGGCCTGGGCTCCTGTCCTCCTGGTTTCATGTGGGCTCCACTATACTCAGCTTTTATTTGGTATTGAGTTTGAAGCAGGATCTCATGTGTAGCTTGAAGTATAACCTTGAATTCCTGAACTTTCTGTTCTGTCTTAAATGCTGGGATGCCAAGCTAAGCCCTTTTCCTGCCTTTGCTTTGAGATGGGTCTTATGCAGGACTTAGCTCTCTGTGTAACGCACGTTAGCTTTCAGTGCTCTTTTTTGCATGTATGTGTGTACATCACATGTATGCCTGGTGCCTGCAAAGGCCAGGAGAAGGCATCCAATCTCCCGTCCTTGGAGTTCAGGGCAGTTTAGAGCTTCCATGTGGGTCTGGGAACCACACACTTTTCCTCAGTAAATGCTCCAAACAATGTGCCTGACGAGCCCGCTCTCTCTCCAGCCCTTGACCTTCAACCTTTTAAAAAGATTTACTGTTTAAAAGTAAAGTGTGTGTGTGTGTGTGTGTGTGTGTGTGTGTGTATGTGTGTGTATGTGTATGTATGTGTGTGTGTGGGATAGGTGCATGTGAGTGCAGTACCCTAAGAGGCCAGTGGCCTGGTATCCCCTAGAACTAGAATAAAGTTGTGAGCTACCACCTGGGAGCTGGGAATCAAATTCAGGTCCTCTGGAAGAGCAGCAAGCACTGAGGCTTCGGAGCCCTTTGTTTTTAATTTTCCATGCCTGCCTTCCCCGTCTGATTATTAGGGTTACAGGTCAGCATAGTGAACTCAGCAGCTTTGTGTACTAAGAACACATGGACTCTGTTTGCATAAATGGCCTATGGGCACCCAATGCAGTACCACTAAGTGTCAGTAACTGTGATTGACACTTGGCTATTAGTTGTATGGCATTGAAATTTGTCTCCATAAAGTCTTATCTAAAAAAAAAAAAAAAAAAAAAATCAAGGTGGCCCTGGAGAGACGTTTTAGCAGATAAGAGAACTTGCTGTTCTTGCTAAGGACGTCTGGTTCTCAGTACAACGTCTGGTTCTCTTACCCACTTGGTGAATCACAACCATCTGTAACTGCAGTTCCAGGAGATTTGATGCCGCTTCCTGACTTTCTCAGGAAACAAACACACATGTATTCATGTAGGCAAAACAGTCAATACACATAAAATAAATTAAAAAAAAAAAAGAAAAGAAAAATCAGGCTGCAAGGTTGGTGTGGTGGCATGCACTGAGTAATCACGGCTCTCGGGGCTGAAGCAGAAAAGATCGAAGAGTTTAAGGCCAGCCTGAGCTACATTGTGAGTCCTAGGCAAGCCTGGGCTACAGAGTGAGACAGTGTCTCAAACAAAATGAAGAACAAAAATAAAAACAAAAACTTGAGGTTGTAAAACATAAATGATATTATCCCTTAAATTTTCATGTCAGTCCCTTTTGCTCCCTTTAGGAAAGGTAAGTGTCTGTAGGAGACTCTACATGTAATGACAGGGTGAGGCTGGAGAGGTGGCTCAGTGTTTAGCACAGTGGCAGCTCTTCCAGAGGATCTGTTTGGTCCCATTACCCACATGGTGGCTTATAACCATATGATGCCCTCTTCTGGCCTCTATGGGCAATACATGCATGTGATGCCCATACATACATGTAGGCAAAACATTTGTGTACATAAAAAATAAATACAATGAAGGCTCAGTAGCAGTGGCTCAGTAACTCCAAGCACAACATCGCTCTTGAAGAGGACCTGGGTTCAGTTCCCAGCATCCACATGGTGGCTCACAAGTGTCTGGTGCTGTCTTCTGGTTTACAGAGTATATGCAGACAAAAGTACCCATATATATAAAAGTCCTAAGAAGTGTGTGTGTGTGTGTGTGTGTGTGTGTGTGTGTGTGTGTGTATGTATGTATATTATCTGGAATCAGTGAGATATAGTACTCTGTATTTATTTAAATCTTGTGTTTTAATTCTCACCATGCTGAAGGATTCCGAGAGACTAATGGAGCAACAAGGTGCATTACTGAAGCGTCTGGCAGAGGCGGACTCAGAGAAAGCGGTAATGACAGCGCCTGGGCCCACAGTACTGGATTAGGTGTCAGGTTGCAGATGGCGAGAAAGGAGCAGGGCTGGAGCATAGTATTTTGTGATCTGTAAAATGGGTTGGCATGTGCTTTGCTGCCTAGTCTCCTAGACTTTCCTAGATAGCTGATCACTGTAGGGAGGGTTCAAAAAGTGAGACTCCAGCATGAGGGATTACTAGTTTTCTGGTCTGTTAAACCTGAATTTGTTTTTTGGATTCCCAGCAGTTAAAAAGTACACAGGGCCAGGTGTGGTAGTGAACACCTCTAATCTCAGCACTCAGGAGCTGGAGGCAGGCAAATCTCCGAGTGTGAGTCCATCCTGGTCTACAAAGTGAATTTCAGGACAGCCAGGGATACAAACAGAGAGAGACCCTGTCTCAAAAAGGAAAAAAAAAGATAGTACATACCCTTTTTGGTTCACAACCCTCATTTGAGGATCTTTACCAAGGCTTGCATGTTCCGTGGAACTTGAAGGCGTTCAAGCTGTTAGTTCATGAGGGCAAGGACAAGATACAAACGGGGAAGTCTTGTGGCCAAATAATTTTGGGAGCTGTTGGCTGACCTGAACTTAAAGTTCAGGCTTCTTAATCCCAAGACTCTGGGAACGGCTGGTATTTATTGGCTTTATATTACTCTATGAGAGGGAAGGACGTAGAGGGGGAAAGACCATGCTGGGTGACTAGTGACCACGGGTGGAAAAAGCCAGTCTGTGTGTGCCTCTCCCTGGCTTCCAGCCCTGGAATTCTCAGATGGCTTTGCTTTAATAAACCATCTCTAGTAAGACAAGAAGAGAGAGAAAGGAGAAAGATCAGGATTTGAGGAAGGAGTGGAAGTTGAGGTATACTGACATTGCTTCTGCCACACTCCCAGCCTAGAAGGCGGAGCTAAGCTGTGAGGCCACACCTCCAGCCTAGAAGGCAGAGAAAAGCTATGATGCAGCTTTTGAAACATCAGCAGCTGTTTCAAAGATTTGGATGGTGTAGTTATACTGTGAGCTTCAGTCAAATGGGAGTTTTGTAGATGAGAGAACAAAATGCATTAAAGCTTCAGTTTGAATGGTTATCGCTGGGCAGCAGTATCTTAGGAATTCTTTGATATTTGTGCTTTTCTGTAATTTCCAGTCAACATTACTTTTTTTTTTGTTTTGTTTTGTTTTGTTTTTTTGAGACAGGGTTTCTCTATATAGCCCTAGCTGTCCTGGAACTCACTCTGTAGACCAGGCTAGCCTCAAACTCTCGAACTCAGAAATCCACCTGCCTCTCCCTCCCAAGTGCTGGGATTAAAGGTGTGCGCCACCACCGCCTGGCTACTTTTTTTTTAAACTGAGGAATATATATTCATTTCTTTTAAAAATTAATATAGGTTAAATGCTTCCTACATTGGCCAGTGGGTCTCTGTGTGGAGCGGCCAGGCTCCTCTGAACAGAGGCGACACTGACTGTGTTTTCCCCCAGCGCCTGCTGTTACTACTGCAAGACAAGGACAAGGAGGTGGAAGAGCTCCTCCAGGAGATACAATGTGAGAAGGTACCGTGCCCAGCACCGCCCTGGCCCTGGAATGAGCCTACTCAGCCGTGCTGGGCTCGGGCCGGCTCCAGCACTTTCTCTGTCTCCCAAGGCTCAAGCAAAGACAGCGTCTGAGCTTTCCAAGTCCATGGAGTCCATGCGGGGGCATTTGCAGGCACAGCTTCGCTGCAAAGAGGCTGAGAACAGTCGCCTGTGCATGCAGATCAAGGTGCTGGCTGGCCCCCAGCTGGGGTGGGAAGAGGCTGCCACTCCCTTAGGTTTCTCGACTTCCTGAGGGAAGTCATTGGTCTCCCATGCTTTCCAGACTCCCAAGTTGGCTGCTTTGCTGAGTCACTTGGGTATCTGACAATTTTAAAGGCTCTCCATGGTCAAAGGGGCCATGGCTCTGATCTGTCCCAGGAGACTGAGTTGCTTATTACATTTTTTCCTTCTCTGCTCTCCTGCCACACCGCCTTGTGGTCTTCTCTGCCTCTTACCTTCCTCATTCTGCTCCCAGAATTTAGAGCGCAGTGGGAACCAGCACAAGGCGGAAGTAGAGGCCATCATGGAGCAGCTAAAGGAACTGAAGCAGAAGGGAGACCGAGACAAAGAGACCCTGAAGAAGGCCATCCGAGCCCAGAAGGAGCGAGCCGAGAAGAGTGAGGAGTATGCCGAGCAGCTACATGTGCAACTAGCCGACAAGGTAATGGCTGGGCTCCGCCGCTGCTCCCTGAGGAGCATCTTGGATTCAGGGTGGGTGAGTGGGCAGGTGTGTGGCTGGGGAAATGTTGGTGACTGAGGGGCTAGGACATCCAGTACATCCATCTTGAGGGAAGGATGGCTCAGGGTCTGCCCACAGGATGCGATGTGATGTTGCGTGCCTGGGATCTTTCTGTACCATTCCCAGCATCCTCTCATCTTGAGAGAGGCAGCAGAGGGAGATGGGATGATGTGATGTAGCCTACCTTCCCTCCTCTCAGCCTGAGTGTTGACACCCGGCTGACGAGCTGCTGTGCTGTATTCCCAGGACCTTTATGTTGCTGAAGCTTTATCTACTCTGGAGTCATGGCGGAGCCGCTACAACCAGGTCGTGAAGGACAAGGGAGACCTTGAGTTGGAGATTATCGTCCTAAATGAGTACGTCTCTGTGTGAGAGAGAGAGAGGCCTGAGGGGGGACTGAGGGGAGGAAGGGCTTGAGTACAGTCTTTGTGTTAGAGAGAGGCCTGAGGGAGGGAAGGCCTTGAGGGGCAGGTGGCTCCTGTGGTCTGCTCAGGTTGGAGAGGTAAACTGTGCTAAGATGTAGCAGCCCTGTGCCAGACTCTGGCTCTACCTCTGGGCTTCTCATCCACTTGCCTAGCATGTGAGAGTCCTAGTCTCCATCCCCTGAACTGCAAACAACCATGAGTAAGCTCAAGGGGAGAAGCTTCCCCATCACAGAGGCCCAAGCCTGGCCCTAGTCTGTGTAGCAGGACAGGGGCACACACAGTTGTTATGCTTGATTATGGAGGGTGCTGTGACTGGTCCCAGTGCACTCTCCATTGTCTACCCAGAGCTTCCTGCCAGGAGGTCAGTGATGGCAGGTAGGCAGAGCCTCCAGGGTTGCATGACTGACTTTGACCCTCTTTCTTTGCCGTTGGAGAATGTCAGTGACCACTGTCCTCAGCCTTATCTGTTTGTTCCTTCACCGTGAGAGTGGACATGGAACAGCTTACACCAGCCTGTGTGCTAGCTCTGGGGATGCAGGCGGAAGAAAACCTGCGCTCCATGCGAGCTCCTGGGCCTACAAGATACATAGGCTTCTTTGGCAAGGAGACAGTGCTCACAGGGAGCTTGCAAGCCTCCCATTTGAGGAAAACTTTCCTGGAGGAAGTGTTCATGTTACATTCAAACCAGTTCACCATGCGCAGGCTGAGAACCTGCCATGTATCGGGTGCTGTTCTCAAGGAAGTATTTAGTGGAAGAAGAGAGGAGAGGGAAAGTATAAGGAAGGTGCATGGAACAGATGAGGGGTAAAGAAGTAAAATCCTCAGGAGGGCAGTCTATACAGAGAATCTCTGTAAGTATCACCTGTCAATAAGAAGGCCTATGTCCAATGAGCTGAGGCAGCAAATAGGAGGTGGGTCACTGGCAGGAAGAGAGGATACTGGGAAATAGTAAGAGGCCCAAGAGATTCACCCTGGAGATGGACGTAAACCAGCAGGTAGCTGAAGTCAGGAGAGAATAAAGAGGAGATTCACCCCGGACTTGGAGGCATGGAGTTAAGCAGAGGTAACTAATGATGCTGTAGATACAGAAGAGTTTGAAGAGGTTAAGTAAGTTTGAGCTTGTCAGGGAGTGAGCCAGAGCTTATGGCCTAGGCATTTATTAATAAATAGTCTCAGGCGTCATTTTGGGAGCAGGGGTAGGAAAGAGGAAAAACGGATTCATATTTTACAGATATCTGAAGTGGGCTTTAAAGGGTGAGTAAAATTGCCAGGTGAGATGCTGTGCACTGGCTGGGGCCCAGTCAGTCCTTCACTCAATGGTTGCTAAATTGCAGCCTCTGAGAACACAGCTCTGGTTTGTATCCCCTGAGCTGCAAAACCCAAATGATTATAATAATTTTAAAACCTCTAAGCAGCTGAGCAGTGGTGCACGCCTTTACTTCCAGCACCAGAGAGGCAGAGGCAGGTGGATCTCTGGGTTTGAGGCCAGCCTGATATACAGAGCAAGTTCCAGCCAGGGCTACATAGAGAAACCCTGTCTGAAAAAAAAAAACAAAACAAAAATAAACCCCAATCAAATCAAAACCAAAATCTAACCCAAGCAAATAAACCCCTCCTAGAACACAGACTGCACATGTTGTAGTGGTGTGAGGTTGAGGTGGGTGAATACCTTGGAACTCCAGGGAGGTCACAGTCACTGACTACCCGGCGGCCCTGCTGAGTGGCAACAAGGAGGGAGTGGACAGAAGCTCCTGCCACTTGGCTCCCTCACTGTCTATAGAGCAGAGTTGCCAGATATGCACACATAGGAGCATGGCTGTGGGGACAAAAGCCACATGGGCCCAATGCCTTGGGGTGAGGACTACCTGAGCAGCCCTTACTGACCACCGACCTGGAAAATGAGGGAAAGATCTCAGTGAATGTGGCCTAACACTAAGAAAGGATGGGAGGCATGTGTGGTGGTGCTGAAAGCTGGGAGGGATTGGGTCTCAGCCTTACCGGGTAATCAGACACATGTATAGTCATCCTGGCTAAGTGGTAGACAGCTTCCAGAGAAGGCGTCAAGTGAAACAGTTTTCAAAAGACATTATGTGGAAATGGGACATTGGTTTGGGATGGTGGGATGGCTTTGTGGTGTGGAGACTGGGGAGCAGATAGGCAGCATGCCATGAGGTTGAAATGGTCTTTGGTCTGGGGGTAGACTCCATTCCTACAAAGATCCAGGAATTGATCTGTCTGCTGATCTTCCAGCCGGGTGACAGATCTTGTAAACCAACAACAAAGCTTGGAGGAGAAGATGCGGGAAGACCGGGACAGCTTGGTAGAGAGACTGCACCGGCAGACTGCTGAGTATTCTGCATTCAAGCTTGAGAACGAGAGGCTCAAGGTCAGGATGCATAGGGAGCTGCGAGGCCAGGGGCAGGCTGGCCTCAGGGGGCGCAGATAAGCCAGGATTCCTCAGAGGCCTGGGCACACTCTGATAGAAGGGAGTGCCTTGTTGCCAGGAGTCTGGCATAGTCTGATTGTCGCCTCACATGCGCTGCAGGGCTGGGTGGCATCTAGTCAGTGTACCGCTGCAGCTCCCTGTGTGGGAAGACGAGTGCTGCTGAGACGATGGTAATGCAGTGGATGTATTCAGTGAGCGCGTGCAGGACAGAATTGACTTTGGCCCTGATGATGGCTCTCTAGGAGGACTGTTGGGTACTTCACACATTCTCATTTTTGGCCTTTCAAAAATGTCTGTTGAGAGTGAGTTCCAGGACAGCCAGGGCTACACAGAGAAACCCTGTCTCGAAAAACCAAAAAAAAAAAAAAAAAAAAAAAAAAAAAAAAAAAAAAAAAAAAAAATGTCTGTTGAGTGTTTTTAGTCAATAAGGCCATTGGGCTGGGGTGTAACTCACTTACAGAGTGCTTGACCAGCAGGCCTTGAGGCTTTGATCCCTAACCCACCAAGGATAAAGAAAGCAAGGTTTACAGAGAGTCATGCACAATTTAAATTTTGGACAGGATTTGCCCAAAGAAGTATTTGGAGTTGAGGTTTGAAATTAAGAATGATTCCGCAGAGCCATCTATTTACTGTTTTCTAAACACTGCTGTGGGGGCTGGTTTTCCCTTCCGATCTCAGTTTTGTTAGGCAAGACAATTTTAAGAAAGTATGACATGAGCCGGGCGGTGGTGGCGCACACCTTTAATCCCAGCACTTGGGAGGTAGAGACAGGCAGATTTCTGAGTTCGAGGCCAGCCTAGTCTACAGAGTGAGTTCCAGGACAGCCAGGGCTACACAGAGAAACTCTGTCTCGAAAAGCCAAAAAAAAAAAAAAAAGTATGACATGGAAAAGTATACAAATTCTTACATTTTATTTTTATTTTATTGGATATTTTTTATTTTCAAATGTCCATCCCGCACCCCAAAATTCTTACATTTTCATAAAGTGAACAATTTTTCAGTCACTCTGAAAGTTAACAAGGACCCCATATCTGACCCCTTGTAGAGGCAGCTGCTGACTCTGCCATCACAAGTCCATCCATCTGTGTAGCCATGGATGTCACGAACACTTCAGAGGCTATGCACTGATGGGTAGCTTTCACTTGGCACAGTGTGTCTAATGTATTCCTCAGTGCTGTCAGTGGGCGCCACTAGCCTTTATTTATTTTACTGGTGGTGGGCCTTTGCCTTGTTCCTCTGGTGCTATGACATGTCTGGGGTACATGTAGCTGGTTTTACTTGCAACAGAATTGCCAGGTCATGGTAGTTCATCCATAGCAGATGTTAACAAGGGCAAAGTAGTTGTACACGTTGTTTCCACCTGTGACATGTCACAGTCAACAGGTGGTCTGTGTCCCCCTGGCAATGTGTGGTATTCCCAGTGGTATTCCCAGTCTTTGGTACTTTTACTGCTTTGGTAGTACAGTTTCTTTGCTGTACTGTAGTTTTAGACACACTGAAAATAACTTCCAAGGAGCCAGGAGACACACAAGCCGAAGGCTAGCGTGGGAGAACTATATACAGTGGATTTCAGGTCAGCTTAGGATACAGAGAGGACCCCACCCCAGATAATATTAACTGCCTGGGAGTCCGCCAGGGATTATAGCCTGGTGTATCTATGTTCAGTATACATTGTAGCCATTGAAAGTGTGGTCTGCAGAAATACATCCCCTTTAGTCAGATATGTTCATCACAGAAGCTGGGGGTGTCGCTCAGGGGTGGAGGAAGCACGTGACATGGACTAAGGCACCAGACACAGGTCTCTTGTCGTAGTGAGTGTGTTTGTCCTAACGGTAACAGTCAAGCACACTTACTCCCTTCACCTAGCTGATGTTCTAAGCTTCCTTTCACTTCCTGTAGTGCTACTCCCAATTCCCCTCCCTCCCTCCCTCTCTTTCTCTCTGCCTCTCTCTGTCTCTGTCTCTCTCTCTTTCTCTCTCTCTCTCTTTCTCCCTGTGATTCTGAGGTCAGAGGACAGTGCCTCGTGCATGTCACTATACCATGAGGCTGTGCTCCAACCCTTTCCTTTCTTTAGGTCAGTGTGTGTTAAGCCTTCCCTTCTCCTCTCCCTCCCTACCTCTGCCTTTATTTCTTTATTTAGCCTTAACTAACCTCAAACTTGCAACAGTCCAGCCTCAGCACATTGAGAGCTGGAACTAAACGTGAGCCATCACTCATTCTGTGTGTGTGTGCTTGTGTGTATCCGTGTGTGTATCTGTGTGTGTCCGTGTCTGCGCGCGCTCAGGCACAGAAATGTGCACATACCATATGTACCTTTGTTCCCCTCGAACCCCTCCTTATCTGTATTGCAAAAGCAGTTGAGTAGCAGGTAACTGTCTGAGCGGTGATGGAATTTACTGTCTTGAAAATACGTTTAGAACATATTGTTAGAGCCGGGCGTTGGTGGCGCACGCCTTTAATCCCAGCACTTGGGAGGCAGAGGCAGGCGGATTTCTGAGTTCGAGGCCAGCCTGGTCTACAGAGTGAGTTCCAGGACAGCCAGGGCTATACAGAGAAACCCTGTCTCGAAAAACCAAAAAAAAAAAAAAAAAAAAAGAACATATTGTTAATTTTAAAAGTTATCTTATATGTTTTGAAAGGATCATATAATCTGTTTATTCCTGAAACAAGTTGGAGAACAATAGCTATGTGGCCAACTCTCGAGCCTTGGTCATGTGATCCGTGTGTTTTATATTCGTTTTCTTTTAGCATGGTAGGCAAGTACATTACCACTTGGCTGCACCAAGCTGTCTTTTTCCTTTAGAGATAGTATATTGCCTTTGGAATGAGAAATTAATTTGTCGTTATCTCTGTCCACATTCTGTGGTCACATTTGGAGACTTAGTCACTGAGGAAAAGACTATGTCTGTATGTCTGTCTGCATATATAGGAGCATGTTCTTTGCTGGCTTCTAGAAGAAGGTGGAGGGTAAGGCGGCCCTGATCTTGAACCTTCACAGACCTTGCTCACAAGCTCGCCCTTCTTTAGGCTAGCTTTGCCCCTATGGAGGACAAGCTCAACCAGGCTCACTTGGAGGTCCAGCAGCTGAAGGCGTCAGTGAAGAACTACGAGGGGATGATCGACAACTACAAGAGCCAGGTAAACACTGTAGGGGGCTGGTACCCTGCCTGTCAGCTCACAGCTCGGCCTTGGGGAGAAGGTAGGACGGGGAGATTGCACCAAGAGCATCCGTCCACTGTGTGGCTTTGTTCCCCAGGTGATGAAGACAAGATTGGAGGCTGATGAAGTGGCTGCGCAGCTAGAGCGCTGCGACAAGGAGAACAAGATGCTTAAAGACGAGATGAACAAAGAGATCGAGGCGGTACTGTCCCCGCCCGCCCTCCCTCCCCGCCCGACCGCCCGCCTCAGACGGGGGTTTCTCTCTGGTTCCCATCCCACCCTGTTTTTCTCTGATTGTTGTCTTCTCTCTGGCTCTTTCTCTATACTATGCTTTCTAATTCCATTTTTCCCTTATGGTTTGAAAAAAAAGCCCCTTTTGCCTGAAGCAGCTAGGTGGACTCAGATCTGCGTGGTGGGCAGGTATTTGGATGTCCATATTTTTCTGCCTGGACTCTGTTTTTGTAGCATCTGTAAATGTGCCTACCGTCTCCTCCGGAAGGATCTTTCTTTTCTAGCACTGTTGGCTGTTGATGTGTAGTAATTGCCTTAAAGATTACCTTGGGGACAGTCTGAGTCGGGCTCAGCTGCGAGTTTCTGAAGCACCTCACTTCTGCCTCTGGTCCCCAGTCTTAAAGCTTAAGGATGTAACAGAACCAGCTATTTCTTTTTCTTTTTTTTTTTTTCTTTTTTTTTTTTTGGTTTTCGAGACAGGGTTTCTGTGTAGCCCTGGCTGTCCTGGAACTCACTCTGTAGACCAGGCTGGCCTCGAACTCAGAAATCCGCCTGCCTCTGCCTCCCAAGTGCTGGGATTAAAGGCGTGCGCCACCACCGCCCAGCAGAACCAGCTATTTCTAATCCTTCCTGATCTTTGTATTATCATGGTGCCTTCCTAGGGGCTTTGGAGTCATTTTAGCCTGTAATCCTGGCTTTTCCAGGCTTAGCTAAGTTTGATCTTTATACCCTTACTGTCCTTTGTGTTTTTTTTTAAATTGTCCTTTTCATTAAAAAAAAAAAAAAAAAGACTTTGTTATGTGCATACACTATAGCTGTCTTCAGACACACCAGAAGAGGAAGTTGGATCCCATTACAGATGGTTGTGAGCCACCATGTGGTTGCTGGGAATTGAACCTCTGGAAGAGCAATCAGTGCTCTTAACTTCTGAGCCATCTCTTCAGCCCCCTAAATTGTCCTTTTTTATTATTGTTCAAATAAAATGACTGCAGAGAACCCTCAGGATGGTGCTGACTCCTGGTGTCACCACTGATATTTGCTGACTGAATGAATGGCTACTGCAAGTGGCAAGGCAGGCCCAGTGTGCCCTGTAAAGATCAGCCTGCTCAGCCTCTGGGACTAGGGCAGCCCTGCTGTGCTCTAGAGGAAGGCCCATACTGTTATCAGTCAGGACCTTACCAATGCTGGGCTTCTTTTCCTGCTTCAGGCCCGTCGGCAGTTCCAGTCACAGCTGGCTGACCTACAACAGCTGCCTGACATCCTCAAGATCACGGAGGCCAAGCTGGCTGAGTGCCAAGACCAGCTGCAGGGCTACGAGAGGAAGAACATCGACCTCACAGCCATCATTTCAGACCTGCGCAGCCGGGTAAGGGACTGGCAGAAGGGATCCCACGAACTGGCCCGAGCAGGGGCCCGCTTACCGAGATGAGCTGCACGCCCCCCAAGGGAGGACCACTTCCTTTTTCTTGGCTGCCGATTTCTGAAAGGAGTGAGCTATCATCAGTGCTGTGAAATAAAAGTCTGGTGTGCCAAACCCTGCGTGTCGCACAAAGTGATTGTAGCTATAGACTCGCCACTGCCTTGCTATGGCCGTCCACGCTCTGCCTGCTTCTGCCTTGCATATCCTGCCGCCGTGCTCCGACCCGCAGCCACAGAGGAGACCCAGCAGATCTATGGCACCCACCGCTTGTCCATTGTTCCATCATTCTCAAGCTTTAACTGCCTCTTCTTGTTTTCCACAGATCCACTTACCTGGGATTCTCTTCTGAGGGACAGAAGCAACCAGCCCCTTTGTCCAGAAGTAGTCTGTCTCTCAGTTACTGGAGCCATGCCCTGCACTTTCCAAGACATGACCCAGCACTCACTTAAATCTGACTTGGGCGGGTCTCTTATCCTTTCTCTTTAAAATCTTTCTTTTATTTGTTGTGTTTCTGGATTTTTTTGGAAACAGGCTGCTTTGGAATTACTGTGTAGCCAAGGATGATCTTAAACTCCTAATCCTGCCTCTACTTCTGAAAATACTGGAGTCGTGCACCACTGTGACCCGATCCTCTCCTGATGTGTGATCATCAGCTTCTGAGCACCTACCCTACCACAGCATGCTGTTGTTTCATCCCCAGGAACCTGATGCACTCTATGGGTTCCTCCTCCAGTAACAGCCTGAAACCTAGAGGGGATACAAGAGTCCCTATGTCACATAGATGCTCAGTATCCACAAGGATTTGAACCCATGGCTTTCAGACTGTTGAATGTCCTTGGGGGTCTCTTGAGCTCTCACATAACACAGTGCTCAGGGTAACTTCTCAGACCTGCTGGCCTAATGAATCCAAGCTGACCTATTACCCTGCTGCACTGCCCATTAGGGAGATGGAATCAGTGGTACCAACACAAATAGGACTGCTTGGGCTTTGTTGTACAGTGTGCTGCTAACACCTTGTGTCTACTGCAGTCCCAGCGGGGCTTCTGGGGCCTCTTCTCATCTGGAACCAGCAGGTGTGGGAGGTGGAGTGGGTCTACCCTGTTCTCTTCTTTCTTCCAGGTTGTTGGTTGAATATGGAACACCTGCTGAGGGCAGTCCGCCTTTTTCCTGGATGTGGATGCCATCAGAGGAGAACGGAGAATCCCTTCATTACTTGCCCTTATGGGAAATGCCTTCATAAACCAGTCTGCGTTCCTGTCATTTTAGATCGAACACCAGGGGGACAAGCTGGAGATGGCGAGAGAGAAACATCAGGCTTCTCAGAAGGAAAATAAACAACTGAGTCAGAAGGTGGATGAACTGGAGAGGTTAGAGGCACTTGGTCCCATGTCTGTCCTCTTCCTAGGACCTGAGACTTTCTGCCACTTAGCTGCTTTGTGCTTAGTGTGCCAAAGTATTTGAGGGATTCAAGGTCCTGGAAGACCTAGGCAGAACTCAAAGGAAGAGCTGCTTGCATTTCAGTGGTAAGCCTTGTGGACGAGAGGAGGGAGTGTGGGGGGGTGGGGGTTGTCAGCCTGGAGAGATGCTGTGTGACCATATGATCCAAGGACAGTCTTCTGGTAGGAGCCATTGTCTCAAAGGCACTATTAGGTCAAGCAGACCAGTAGGCCTGCTTTGAGTGAAACAGCCGGAGCACCTGTGTGCTGCACATAAGCATCCTACAGCCTCTCTGGCCTTTTACAGACTGTTAAAAGCAGCTGTGGGTGGGGCTTACAGTACTTGGCATCAGAAGCCCTGCTTTGGGGGCCCTCGAGACACTTAACCTCCCTTGTGACCTTGGGTAGATCCTATAACTCTTCTGTATCTGTTTCCTAGTCTGAGGAAGGATCAGTGTAGTAGTGCGCCAGCTGATGGCAGGTCTCAGTAAGAGGGGCCTCTCAAAGGGGTCTGATCCTTACTTGTAAGCTAGTACCATTAGTCCTAATTAGTGACTTGTTTTGGTTTTTTTGGCTTTTCGAGACAAGGTTTCTCTGTGTAGCCCTGCTGGCTGTCCTAGAACTCACTTTGTAGACCAGGCTGGCCTCAAACTCAGAAATCCGCCTGCCTCTGCCTCCCAAGTGCTGAGATTAAAGGCGTGCACCACCACTGCCCAACTAGTGACTTTTTTTTTTTTTTTTTTTTAGATATACTTTATTTTTTAATTGTCTGTATTTGTGAGTGTCTGGGACTATGTACGTGTGAACACAGATGCTCATAGAGGCTCCGAGTCTCCGCAGCAGAAGTTACAGGCAGTTGTGTGCCGCCTGATGTGAGTGCCGGGACCTGAACTTGGGTCCTTTGCAAGAGCAGTGTGTAGTGTGTGCTCTTAACCATCAAGCCGTCTCTTTAGCGCCTGTTTTTTTTTTTTTTTAAACCTGCTTTTATTATTATATATTTGTACCCAGCATGGGCACCTGCATGGGCATAGGTGTCAGGACAACTTGTGGGAATCAGTTCTCTTCTTCCATCACGTGGGGCTGGGGATTGAACTCAGGTCAAGGTGCTTTTTAGTAAGCACCTTTACCCACTGAACCACATTTTGCCTGCCCCGTATTTTGCCTCTAGTCAGGCTGTAAGTTTGTCCCTCAACTCCTCTTGCCTTAGCCGCCTGAGTACTAAGGTCATAAGTATGGATGATCCACATGTTATCTATAAGGAAACCAACCAAGCTCAGGGAATGAGTGTAACTTGTCCAGATACACACAGCTGGTTTCTACGAATGATGATCCTTAAGCTAGGAACTCCTCTTCCAGAACCGTGTTAGCATCTGTAAGCAGAAGACTTCGAGCCCAGAGTGGTGGCACACCACTAGTCCCAGTACTTAGGAGGCCAAGGCAGGAGGATTGCTGCCAGCCTGGGCTGTGTTGTAATACCCTGTCTCAGGAGAGATGGCTCAGCAGTTAAGAGCAGTGAGCAGTGACTGCTCTTCCAGAGGTCCCGAGTTCAATTCCCAACAACCACATAGTGGTTGTAATGGGATCTGATGCATACTCTTCTGGTGTGTGTCTGAAGACAGCGACAGTGTTTTCACACATGAAATTAATAAATCTTTTAAAAAAAAAAAGTTGGAGAGCTGAGGGTCTTAGGGTGGTCTTAAATGCCCTAAAGGTCAGGGTAGCCTGCAGTGGGTCTTAGGGTGGTCTTAAATGCCCTAAAGGTCAGGGTAGCCTGCAGTGGGCCTTAGGGTGGTCTTAAATGCCCTGAAGGTCAGGGTAGCCTGCAGTGGGGCTGGAACAGACATCTGTGTCCACCTCTGTTCTGCCAAACTGACCCACAAACGTAGCTAGGTTCAAGATCTGCAGTGTTCCTAAAGATGACGGTGTTCTGGAGGGGCAGGAGAGACTGTGCCACAGCTGTCCTGTGTCTGTCACATACGGTGTTGTGTGGCTCAGCTGAAGTCTCTTTGCTGAGCTGGGCTTTGGTGACAGACCTGCCAGCTGTGCTGCTCTCAGTCCTGTTCCTCCTGCTTCCCTCAGACATGGGTTGGTGATGGCAGGTCTTCTGTGAGCTGCAGGTTGCTGTTGTCTGTGTGACACTCAGCAAGGGGCACCGTGTACACTCAGCTGCACATGTAGTCCTTCCCGCTGTCCTCACTTGTCCTGTGACCAGCTGTTGCAGTTACACAGTCTGGCAGCCACCTTGCTCATCTGAACATGCTTTCTATTTCTTCCTGTGGCTCCTTGGAGATTCTTCAAGTGACAAAATTCCCGGTTAAGGGGAGACAGAAGCCCCCTGGCAGTGGGTCATTGCAGGGTCTAACGGAATGCTCTCACCTAGGAAACTGGAGGCCACCAGCGCCCAGAATGTCGAGTTCCTACAGGTGATTGCCAAGAGGGAGGAGGCAATCCACCAGGCTCAGCTGCGGCTGGAGGAGAAAACGAGGGAGTGTGGGGCCTTGGCAAGGCAGTTGGAGAGTGCCATCGAAGATGCCAGGCGACAGGTCAGATGTTGCCCTCTGTCCGACCTTTTCCTGGCCTACTCTCTGACCTGAAGAGTGGGTACAGTGGGTACATTCCTCCTTAGTGTGCTGTAGAGGATTGGCCCTTTGTGGTGTTGATATTCTGGAAAGCTTTTTCACCTTAGAGGAATGCTGGAAAAGGTTAGGAAAGATGGATAGTAAGCTTCCCTCAGGGCTACAGAGATGGGTAACAGCACTAGCTGCTCTTCCCTAGGACCCAGGTTCAATTCCCAGCACCCACATAGCAGCTTACAACAGTTTGTAACTCCAATTCCAAGGAATATAGCACCTGGACAGATGTACATGCAAGCCAAACACCAATACACATATAGAGAAGGGAGTAGGATAAGGAGGGGGAAGAGGGAGAGAGGGAGGGAGGGAGGGAGGGAGGGAGGAAGGAAGGAAGGAAGGAAGGAAGGAAGGAAGGAAGGAAGGAAGGAAAGAAGGAGAGAGACTCTCCGTTTAGTTAGCTTCTGTGCCAAGGCTCCAGAATATTTTGCATACTGATGTGCCAGTGGGCTGTGACTGGTCGGTGGGCATGGCCAGCCATCTCTGCCAGGTCAGCTAGCCCTTCCTCTGTGCTTTGTGTGTAGGTGGAGCAAACCAAGGAACAGGCGCTCTCTAAGGAACGAGCAGCCCAGAGCAAAATCCTGGACCTTGAGACTCAGCTAAGCAGGACTAAGACAGAACTCGGCCAGCTGAGGCGGACTCGTGATGACGTAAGTTGGGCTAGTGGGCAGGGCTTCCTCAGGCTGCAGCACAACTGTCTGCTAGTGTTTTCATAAGTCTCACATAGGTTATTATCCCCAGTCACCTTACCACCCTGTAAAGATATTCTGGGTAGACCTCCCTCCCCTTCATTGGCACTAGGGATTGAACGCAGGTCCTTGACTGTGTTAGGCAAGCTGCTCCTACTCAACTATGGCTCCTCTTACATCACTTCTTAAGCTCTATAAGAGTTTAAAGATATCATTTATACCTGTAAACACTGATTGCATAGTTGAACAGTTCAGCATATCCATAGACTTATAGATTATCAAATTCCTGTTAGGGGTAAAATTGTGGGGTAGAGGCTGTCTCCATAGGAGTTCATGAGAGAATCAAAATAAGCAAAGATAACTCTTAATGGAAAGCAAGGACGAGCTTTAGAAAGTCATGAAGATGGAAAAGAGTCCGAGAAGAGTAGCTCCTGAGCAGACAGAGCAGCCCCAGCCCCAGTGCAGAGAGGAAGCTAAAGCCATTCCTAATGCAAGTCCGTGTCTTCCCTGCCTTGGATGCTGGGGTAGAGCCTTCAAGACTAGGCTGAAGACGACTCCCAAATGGGGCAAAGAAGAGTTGGCTTAGTAGTTGTGAGCACTGGTTGCTCCTGGGGTAAGACCTGGGTTTGGTTCCCAGCACCCACGTGGCGGCTCAGTCTGTAACTACAGTTCCAGGGTGTCTGATAGTCTTTTGGCACATCGGTTAAAGGTACCGCCATTTGGTCATAAGGACTCGAGTTTGTATCCCAGCACCCACATAGGGTGCTTCCACAAGGAAGTAGGTGATATGCAAGATGAAGATCTCAAAGTTCAGTGGTAAAAGGATGAGTGATCTGAGAAGCCATCAGGTGAATTGAGTCTACAATCTGGGAGCTATGGATGAGAAAGAACAAAGTTCAGAAAAGAAATTGTGAGTATGAGAAAACCAGAAATGTTGGAAGTGACCAATGACTTAGAAAACAGGAGAAAGCATCAACAAAGACCAAACCAAGCAGAAGAAAGAAGCTGAGGAATGGAGAAGGCCATGGTCAACAAGCAGCCTGGCATGCTAGTTCATGGCTTTAATTCTCCCATTGAGAGGCTGCAGCAGGTGGATGTCTGAATTTGATGCCAACCTGGTCTAGGGCAGCCAGGACTATATAATAGAGTCAGCCTGTCTCAAAAAACAAAACCAACCAACCAAACAAACAAAAAAACCAACCATGACCACAGTATCAGAGTCTTCTGGGATACCATTAAGAGAGCAAACCTAAGAACTGTCAGGACAGAAGGAGCTGGAACACTGAAGGCAGAGAGTCAAGTTGATGAGTACACACGCATTTTTTTAAAGGGATCAACACTCAAACTTAAGGCATTTAGAACTACAAATGCATAGGACCCAGAAGAACTTCCAAGAACTGTTATAGTCAGTACGTCAAAGCAAAAGAAGACAGATTGCCAACTAAAGGGGTGGGGCTGCAGAGATGCCCAGAGGTTAGGATTGCAGAGGACCCAGGTCTGCTACCGAGCACCTATATCCTGTGGCTTCCAGTGACTCCAGCTCCAAGGATCTAACAGCTCTGGCCCCTCAGACAGTGCGTTCATGTGGACAATACCCCGAGCACATACATAGAGATATTTAAAAATAAATCTTTAAAAGAACAGGCTATAAGGGGAAAAATACCATATCACAAAGGCAATACTGCAAAACTAACAACATATCTCTCAGCTAACACAAATAGCCAGGTTAACATGGAAAAATGCATTTTAGATCTTGAAAATAAGTAGTTTTCAATCAAGATTGTTATATTCAACAATTCTTTTTTTTTGTTTTTGTTTTTGTTTTTTCGAGACAGGGTTTCTCTGTGTAGCTCTGGCTGTCCTGGAACTCACTCTGTAGACCAGGCTGGCCTCAAACTCAGAAATCCACCTGCCTCTGCCTCCCAAGTGCTGGGATTAAAGGTGTGCACCACCACCGCCTGGCCAACAATTCTTTTAAAATGATCTTCAAGTACAAGGAAACGTCAAGATAAATACAAATCAAGGCAGTTCATGATTTCTGTTTGTTGCCAAAGATACATAAATGAGGGCTATAACACCGGGAAGAAAGTCACGGTTAATCGGAAGAGCACAGGACAGGGAGAAATTTTACAGGAGGTCTAGGAAGGAATGTGGCATGTCCCACACAGTAAATACGCAAACCTCTAATACTAATAAAGAAGAATGCAAGAAGCAAGATAATCCAGCCAGCCCAAAAGATAACTGACAAAATTACAGGACGTGGTAAATCGTAGCCTTAAATATAGATGGCCTCGCTGGCCCATTTGGCAGACTGACAGATGGGGCTTAAAAGAAAAGGCCCAACAACTGTGTCCAAGAAATGTACCTCACAGCTGGGCGGTGGTGGCGCACGCCTTTAATCCCAGCACTTGGGAGGCAGAGGCAGGCGGATTTCTGAGTTCGAGGCCAGCCTGGTCTACCGAGTGAGTTCCAGGACAGCCAGGGCTATACAGAGAAACCCTGTCTCGAAAAACCAAAAAAAAAAAAAAAAAAAAAATGTACCTCACGAGCCGGGCTGTGGTGGCGTACGCCTTTAATCCCAGCACTTGGGAGGCAGAGGCAGGTGGATTTCTGAGTTCTAGGCCAGCCTGGTCTACAGAGTGTGTTCCAGGACAGCCAGGGCTACACAGAGAAACCCTGTCTCGAAAACCCCCCCCCCCAAAAAAAAAAAGTAGCTCACTGGTGGATAGACAGATGCAAAGGATGGTAACCAATATACTATGCCAATGGGAGCCCAGACCACGCCGGTGTGAGTATTCTCATGTCCGAGAAGTAAACTTCAAAATCAGAAGAGATTTAAAGTTACTCCAGATCAATACAGGGATAATTAATGAAGATGATGTCACAAGCAGGGTGTGGTGTCACATGCCTTTCATCCCAGCACTTAGGAGGAAGAGGAAGAGGCAGATCTGTGAGTTCCAGGACAGCCCGGGCTACACAGAGAAACCCTGTCTCTAAAAACAAAACCCGATGGAACAGTGATGTATTTGTCAAGTGCTGGGATTAAAGATGTACACCACTACGTCTGGCTTTTTGTTTTTGAAGAACATCAGCATTTCCGAAATTGTCCGTAGACTGCAAGAAAATAGAATTGCTAGGCATGTAAAGCAAAGCAGCAGAATATAAAGTCAACATACACTACTAGGCTGGATCTACACAGCCTGCATCATCCTGATACCAAAGCACACAGGACACGATGAGAAAGACAACCATCTCTTTGATGAACATGACACAAAAGTCCTCCAGATTCTTTTTTTTTTTTTTTTTTTTTTTTTTGGGTTTTCGTGACAGGGTTTCTCTGTGCAGCCCTGGCTGTCTTGGAACTCACTCGGTAGACCAGGCTGGCCTCGAACTCAGAAATCCACCTGCCTCTGCCTCCCAAGTGCTGGGATTAAGTGCTGGGTGTTTTTGGTTTATTTTTTTAACCTATAGCTGGTATTGTCCTTAGTGGGAAGAAAATGAGTATTTTCTCAGTTTAGCTTGTTTTTAAAACAGTGTCTCACTCTGTATCCCTGGCCGGTCTGGAACTCATTATGTAGACTAGAATAGCCACAAACTCATAAGAGTCTGGTCTGCTTCCTGAGTGCCGGGATTAATGATGTGCACTGCCACGCCCAGCTCAATACAGTGTCTGTATTGAAGAAATGAGAAAGTGACTGAGCAGGTAAAGTGCCCAAGCCTGATTGGCTGAGTTTGATTTTCAGAACCTTTAAGTTGAAAGGGGAAAACCATGGGGGCTGGAGAGATGGCTCAGGGGTAAAGAGCACTGGCTGCTCTTCCAGAGGTCATGAGTTCAACTACATGGTGGCTCACAACCATCTGGAATGGGATTCAATGCCGTGTCCTGGTGTGTCAGTGACAGTGTGCTCACATATGTTAAAATAATAAATAAGGGAAACCACATTCACAGATATGTGTAAAACTAAAACAACTTCTAAAGAAAATAACTGGGGCTAAACCTCAGTTGACAGAGTCCTTGCTTGTATGTTTGAAACCCTGGGTTCAATCCCTAACAGCTATTCAAAAAAAAACAAGCAGACAAGCAGGGTGGTGCGTGCTTGTGACCTCAGGATGGCAGAAGAGTCCACAGTTCAACGTCAGTCTCAACTACAGACCAAATTTGAGGCTAGCCTGGGCTACATGAATCCGTGCCTTTAAAAAAAAATGATAGCATGTGTTGCTGAGGATGTGGAAGGAGCTCGGCCCTTCAGCCCTTCCCATTGCTGACAGGAGCAACACCACACTTAGCTCGTCCCACGCTGGGTGCTTGCTTTGTCTTTCTTTTTTTTCTCTCTTTTTTTTTTTTTGAGACAGGACTTCTTTGTATAGCTCTGGCTGTACTACACCTCACTGCACACCAGGCTGGCCTTGAACTTGTAGAGATGAAGTTACTCTTTCTTAAATGTGTGTGGGTGTAGGTGGGTGTGGTTTGTTTCTCTGTGGAGACTAGAAGAAAGCACCTGGTTCCTTGGAATCACCTGTAACTACATAGTGAAACTCTTTGTCAAATAATAAAATAAGCACAAGCTCAGCCAGGTATATTGACTCGGTGTATGTTGCCATAATAACCACACTCAGGAAGGTTAAGTCAGGAAAGTTGTAGCTAATTGAAGCCCATGTACTGAGTTGTCTGAGAAGTTTGCTGAGGCCTTGGCTCAAAACAGTAAAACAGCTGGTTGGTGGTTGATCCCAGAGCTTCAAGAGGCGAAGGGAGGAGGATCTCTGAGAATTCGATGCCAGCCTGATCTATAGGTGAGTTCTACGACAACAAGACTACACAAAGAAACAACAGTAAAAAATAGAGAAAGCCAAAATCAAGCAACTAACTCCCCCACCCAAGGGGGATAAAACCCATCTCAACTGCAGGCCCTATGTGCCTCTCCCAGTGTTGGCACCCTAGAAGTGACTGCCCTTGTCTCTGATTGCCCATTGTTGCCTTCTTATTCTTTGCCCCATTCTTTCTTCTGTTAGGCGGATCGTAGATACCAAAGCCGGCTGCAGGATCTGAAAGATCGCCTGGAGCAGTCTGAGAGCACCAACCGCAGCATGCAGAATTATGTCCAGTTCCTCAAGTCCTCTTATGCAAATGTGTTTGGGGATGGTCCCTATACCTCTTCCTACCTGACGAGCTCACCCATCCGCTCCCGGTCTCCCCCTACCTGAGGCTACCTGTCTAGGGTGTGATGCCCCTTGCCTGATGCCAGACAACTATGGGAGTTACCAAACCATAGCTGGCAAGCCCACTGGTTTTCAAATGTGCTCAGGGTCTATTCCTCAACTAATGCCAGGAAAGGCCCTAGAGCAGCCAGGGATTAATAAGGAAAAATCTGGTTCTCTTTCCTGATCTGGGAACCTGGTGAAATTACCAGCCTTCTATTTGCCACATTAGGTACCAGATTTTTAAATCCCTGTGACTATTCAGTCTGCTTCCTTTCCTCAGGGAATCCTTGGATGGACTGTTCCTGCAGACTCCTTCCAGCCCTCCTCTTTCGAGGCATCCATCTTGGGTTTCTTTGAGTTGCAGGAGTCCTTCTCCAACTGAATGCCTACATTGCTTTTTCTTTCCTTTTTATTTATTTTTTATTTTATTTTTAAATAAAAATAGAATTTTATTTGTATTGAGAAATAGTGAAAACAGGTAAATTGATAACAGAGTGAGTCTGTGCTTTTATCAGCATAAAAATATAATGGAGGGCTCATGGAGGTAAAATGTTCACAGCTACCTTGCTCCTATAGAATCTGTAGCTACAAATGTCACAAAAATGTTCTTTGAGTTCCTTGTTACATATCAACTGGCATAAGTTATAGCAGGTGTATTCACAATGAATTGTTAAAACACAGATCTAACAGTGGCAAGTGTGCTTGTAACAATGTGTTTTGGTTTCACAGTTCTGGTAACTAACAGCCTCTTATTGCAAGAAAAATACACAACAGTGCCATGCTCGCATGGGGCCATGGTGGCCTTCTGTAGTGATTCAGCTTTAGTGGATGTCCTGCTGAAGGGAAGTCTGCTTTTCTCTTGGTGGATAGGGCAGGATGCGGTATTTTCCTTGGTGCCAGTGGAAACCTCCCATGTCTGCGTTTCCTGCAGGCCACTGGTCCTCAAGCGCTTCACAGACACGGCCTGACAATCTGGCCTGACAATCAGAATTTATCTCATTGCTTTTCATTTCTCTTTGTAACTCAGATTCATTTATTTTTGAAAATTGTGTGTGGTTTTACAGGAAATAAAGTTTTTAGAACAGTTATGTCAGACTCCTTTGATTTCCCTTATCCCCCTCTCCTTCTTTTAAAAATGATCGAGTGAGGTGGCACACACCTGTCGTAAGCATTTGGGAATTGGAGGCAAGAGGATCAGTTCAGTGTTATCCACAGCTACAGAGTGATTGAGGCCAGCCTGGGCTACATGAGAGCATGTCTGAATAAAAAAAATCTTTAAATGACTTAATAAAATTGGTATGCGAGAACATTAGTTAGGAGAGTCCTTGATTCGTGAAATGACCGATTTCATTTCATTGTGGACCAGATAGGCAGCTGCTCCTTTGGTTGGCTTCAGAAGGTAAAGCACCTGATGGCTGGAGGCAAGGCACTCTGTCCAGCCTAACTCCTTAGAGTTTGGGAAGGATCACGTAGCAAGGTAGGTGTGGGATGTGCCTATATTTTCTGTGTTAAATGTTACTCATCTGTGTGATAAGATTTGGGGCCATTTTTTCCTTTTCCTGTGCTGAGAGAATGAGTGATATAGAGCACTTAGAATGTGCAGTGTGAGAGCCTAAGGGTTTGTGTTGTGGTAAATCTCCAACCCAAGTAAGACCGGTCAAAGAAAACACAACTCAGGAAGTATGAATACAAACTGCACGCCTAGACTGGGCAGATTTACCACTACTCTATTCCCCACCTATGAGCTCCCTTGTAACTTTCAGTTTTTCCAGGCTAAATGCTTCTCCTGCACTGTCCTTCCACCTCTTCCTCCCCCTCCTCATCTTCCTCTCTCCTCTTCCTCTTCTTCCCTCTCTCCTCCTCCAAACCTTTTCCCTCCACCTCCCCTTCTACTGCCCAATCACTGGCTCTAGCATTTATTTTACAAATTAAGATGGGCAGAAGGTTCACAAGAAGTCACCTGTGTACTGATTCACACCTCCTCTACAGCCCTTCTCAGGAAAGCTGAATTAGCATCAAAATACAAGGCCTGGGCTATCCACAACAGGTTTGCTTTGCTTTTCATTCATTTTAAATTGGAATTTGTGTACTATTTTATGTGTGGGTGGCCTGCATGTATGTATGTGCTATGTAACATCTATGTTCTTGGTGCTCTCTGAAGCTGGAAGAGGGCATCCAAGCCCCTGGTACTGGAGTTGTGGATGGTTGAGAACCACCATGTGTGCTGGGAATTGAATCCATGTTCTCAATAAGAGCAACCAACATGTGCTCAACTGGTGACCCAACTCATCTCTCCAACCTCAAGCCCCTAGGTGTGCTCTGTAGTACCCATCCACCATTACCAACCAAAACCCACCAATGAATAAAAAGCAAAGCTTGCTCTTCAGAGGGCTCCTTCTAGCTGGCACTGGCCTGAGTTCTGGCCTTGACTCTTCTCTTGCTTTCCTATTCCTGTGAAAACACATCATGACGAAGGCAATTTAAAAAACTGTTTAGTTTGGCTTATTCTTTCAGGGGGTTAGAGTTCATAACTGTGGACCACAGAGCACAGAGCTCATGTCTGGATCCACACTGGGAGGCATTGAAGGAACACCAGGAATCATGAGGTTTTTGGAACCCCCAAGCCTGCACCAGTGAATATCTCCACTAGTAAAGACATCTAATTCTTCCCAAGCAGTTTCAACACCTCATAGTCAAATACATGAGTCTGTGGAGGCCATTCTCATTCAGAAAACTATAGCATCTCAGCCACTAGAATCCAAGTCCACATTTCCAGAGATTGGGGCTGGAGACAGTTCAATGCTTAAACACTGTGTGAGGTGGAGGACCCACGCAGGAGGCAAAGAACCAGGCGGGCTGGAGAAATGCAGTTAAGGTTGCCTACTGTTCTTGCCCACATCAGCTGGCAACCAGCAGGAACTCAGTGCAGCTCCTTTGACATACCTCGGGCCTTAGAAGGCACCTACAATCACATGTACATTTACATGCAAGTTGAAAACAAGTAGACCTTTTGCTTTGTTTTGTTTTGTTTTTTGAGACAAGGTTTCTCTGGGTAGCCCTGGCTGTCCTGGAAGTCACTCTATAGACCAGGCTGGCCTCGAACTCAGAAATCCTCCTGTCTCTGCCTCCCAAGTGCTGGGATTAAAGGCGTGCGCCACCACCGCCCGGCAGTATACCTTTTTCTTAAGAGACAGGGTCCCACCATATAGCTCTGGGTGGCCTGGAACTTATGTAGACCAGCCTGGTCTTCAACTCAGATGCCCTGGCTCTGCCTCTCATGTCCTGAGATTGAAGGCATGCACCACTATGCCCGGGCTCCCAAACAATTTCTCAAACAGTTGTCAGACTTAGACCACCACAAGCATGCACGGGTACCTAAGTAATTCCTGTTTCATTTTCCGAACTAGTGTAAGCTCTGCACCAGTGTTGAGCTGTATAAGCTGTTTTGACAGAAATAACTTGGGAGTCCATTCCTAGGAAATTTTTCATAGCCAGGCCCTTTCCTGGCTGTCCTGGAACTCACTCTGTAGATGAGGTTGACCTCGAACTCAAGACATCTGCTTGCCTCTGCCTCCTGAGTGCTGGGATTAAAGTTGTGTAATGCTACATCTGGATTATTCCTGGGTCTCTTGTATTAACGTTTGTTAATTATTGGAAGTCCAAAGATTTGTTTTAGAAAACAAAAAAGTATGTATGTGTTACCACCGCCCGGCTTCTCTGGAGGTTCTTAACCCACCTCAAACCTCTGTTACGGACTCATGAGCAGTAGACGGGACAAAAAAGCGCAGAGCATCGTCTGGGCAGTTATGACTGTGAGAAATTACAATGAGAGTCATCCGTGTATGGCCGCTTGGCGCTTGGCCGCAATTCTGCATTCTTGCTCGGGCCTGGGCGAGGCGTTCACGAGTGGGCAGGGCGCTGCTGACGGGCAGGGTCTGCGACCGTTAGGGACGAGGCTGCGCCGGATGTGGGGCGGACAACCCGGAAGCGGAAGGCGGTGCCTCCTCGGCGGCGGATTCGAGGGTTTGTTGTCAGTAGTAAGTATCAGCTGGTGGCCTGCCATGCCGTCCGATGGTCGCTGCTGGGAAACTCTGAGGGCGCTCCGCAACTCCAGCAAAGGCCGCCTGCGCTACGACCGCGAGTGGCTGCTGCGCTATGAGGTAAGCGGCGGCCGGCAGCCCGCGTTTAACAGGCTTCCTAGAGACCGCGATGGAGGACCGGGCGTGGCGACGGGCCGCGGTCCTTTATCTTCTGCATTAACTTATTTGCTTAGGCCCTCAGCTGTTGAGTATTACATGTAATAAAGTCTTAGACTTTCCAGTGGACATACAAATAGGTTTAACCTTCTTCTCTTTAGGATGTTTTGGAAGAATGCATGTCTCTTCCCAAACTGTCTTCTTACTCTGGATGGGTGGTAGATCACATCTTACCCAACACCTCACGGCACACGCAAGAGAATGCTCCTTCTTCTGATAATTCACCGTCCTCTGGATCTGCTTCAGGCCTGTACCAATCCTCACTACTTAAGTCTCCTGTCAGAAGTAGCCCACAATCTCCTTCACCCTCAACACCCGATGGAGCCCAGGTAAGGTATAACTTGCTTAAGACAAAACACCTGTTGGCTGCAAAGCTGAAATGTTTAGTCACATGACAGTGACTTAGGTAACAGTTGTTTCCCATTGCAGATAATTGTATTTACCATTTCACCCATTGTTTGTGGAGCCAGAAATCAACTTTGGGTCTTGATTCTCAGAGGTCTTCATCTTGGGTTGTGAGGCGGTGTCCCTCATTGGCCTGGAGCTCATCAACTAGAATTAATATTAACTGACCAGTAATCCCAGAAATCCTCCTGTCTCCTCTTCTCCAGTGCTGAAATTATAAGTACATGCCACTATGCCATTTTATATGGATTGTGACCATCAAACCTTAGGCCTTCCTGCCTGTACTTTACTCATTAAGCTATCTTCCCAGCACAAAAAGAAACACCAGTTTATTAAAAAGAACCAGTGTAACACCTGGTGCGACGGTGCACACCTTTAATTGCAGCACTTGGGAGGCAGAGACAGGTGGGTCCCTGTGAATTCAAGGTCAGCCTGCTCTACAGAGCAAATTCTAGGCCAGCCAGGGCTACATAATGAAGACTCTGTCTAAACAAAACAAAAAGTATTGTGCTTCTTGGCCTTTTGAGGAAGATCGAATGTAAATGAGTTAGGGCCAGGAATGGGGAGAGGGAGGAACAACATAACAAAGTTGCTGTGATAATAGACAGTGTTCCCTGTTTACTGTTCTCATTGGCAGCATTTAGAGCAGGACCTAAAGATGAGGTAGACTAAAGTTTCATAAAATAGCTAACTTTATTCAGAGCATCAGACAATTTATAGTCTGAGGGAAAAGTCACCTGGGTACAGTATTCAATCACAAGGACTGGTTTTTCCATAGATGAATGTAAACAAATATTAACCAGTTGTAACAAAAAATCCAAATTAAACTCATCCCTGTCTGCTACATGTAGGAGGGGACAGAGCATATTCTGAGAACACCTCTGTGTTTTGAAGAAACTGAGGTCACAAGACTCTTGTCTTGTTTTCTTGGAGTTTTCTCACAAGTACTTAGAATTCTCGTACAACTCTATTCTCAGACTATTCTGATACTAATCTAAATTATTTTCATTATTCGTGGCTTATAAATTTAATACTGGTTCGTAAGTTGGGTGTGTTAAGAGTTTCGACTTCAAATGTCTGTCAGAGGAGTCTGTGTTGAACTTTCCCCCACCCCCCTCCGTGGCAACATTGAAAGGTGAAGCTTTGGGAAATGAATCATTATCTTCAGGGAGCTATACATCGATGGGTCATAGTCTCGTACTTTATCGGTGGAAATAGTAGATAGTGCTAAGCTGCAGGTACTGGGTCCTTGTCAACTAAATATAATCCCTGGCCCTTTCCTCTCTCTCCTGCTTTCCAGCCACTTCAAGGTGGCTTCTTTTCTCTACCACATGCCTCTGCTGTCAGGTTCTGCCTTAACACAGCTCAGAACCAGGGAACAAGCGAGTCCAGAGACCATGTACAGAAACCTCTGAATTGCGAGCCAA